GAAGTATATCAAACCAGGTACTAAAATCTTGTCGGACAAGTTTGGTTCGTACGTGTCGTCGAATGAACGCCACACCCTGGAGACCAACCCCCGGCTGCGTGGCATGAATTACACCCACGCTTGGGTGAACCACTCCGAAAACTTCGTCAACCCAATCAACGGTGCCCACACACAGTCAATCGAAGGTGTGTGGGAGGTGAGGATCAAACAATACCTCAAGGCGATGCGCGGGGTGCACCGCAAGCACCTCCCTGGGTACTTAGACGAATTTTTGTGGCGTTCCTGGTTTTTTCCCCAGAAAGCTGACGGCAAAATGGTGTTCAAGGGACTTGTCATTGCCATTCGTAAACAGTACTTGAACTAACGTAATAAATACTTGATTTGGTTGCTTGTCATTATTATGTGTGTGGTCGAAGGTGGTTTGGCGGTCGAGGCAGGGATGTTTTATCCGGATGAATTTTTGGGATTGAAAAAAATTATTATAATTAGTGACCGGGGGCTTATCTGGAAGAGTGCCAAAGCCCGGACTTTCACCGACCACGATTTTCAACGACTTCCGCATAACTCGTAACCGGATATTCTTTCGTTCAAGCTGGCATGTATGAAAATATTCCGCAACCAGCCCCTAACAATCATTATAATTCGAGCTGAGAATCTAGAAAGATCGAAGCGTTCTTGAACCTGAGATCGATGGAAGAGGCCATCCCTGCACCACATATTCCGGTACAGCTCTCTGTATAACGTTAGAACGATGCACCGCTAACATGTCATGCAGCCAGTCATGCGAAGCGTAGTAACAGGGAGAATGGGGGAGACAAAATTTCCTCTCCCCATGATCATGGAGAATGTAAGAAGGAGCAACTCTCCCTAGGGGTCATTATTGAGCGTGTTTACCTACCTACCTATGGCCCCTAGGGGAAAATATTTAAGATATGGATATTATTGATTGAGTTATTACTACCGGTTTGATTCAACGATATCTAAGATAAGCGTTTGACGCATATGCGCACGGGTTAGAGTAGCGGCGGGGGGCCCGAAGTCCCAGGAGCGTCAAAAAAAAATCTAAACTTCGAAATTATGCAAAAGTACATTATTGTTTCTTGCGAACTTGTTCAACGGTCAAAGTATTCCAATATGCACGATTGGCTCCTAGAAACATTAGTATTTCTAGAGACTCTGGCGCCAACCTTTGACGAAGTGAAGTGTACACTAGTTTCGCCTTTGAGAAGAGGCACTCGATAATGTTCGAGGTGGGCAGCACACAGCGGAGGTTTTCATATTCCATGACGATCCGTTCATTCAGCTTGGCTCTCTTCGCTTGCAGATCTTTCATCGCCAAGCACGACGGACTCGGACTGGGTCTAACAACCTCGAACGGGGCCAACGCCGCTCGCTCGCATTCCAGCGTACTGCACACATCGTCGTCCTGCACCTTGACCACGGCATTTTCAAAGGTCGCGTTCGATACGTATCGACGCGTGGGGGCTTAGGTAGCTCGCCATACCCGAAAACCGCTCGACCAGAGTGCCTTGTAAGGCCCGCGCCTCATTCATCGCCAGGTCGTGGAGCTGCAGGATAATCGTGAACCCTTGAATGACTTCCAACGCGGCCTACAGATCTTGCAACTTGTCAATCTCAACAGGGAATCGAAAAGTAGACCGCAGATCAGCGATGCATGCGCGTTCATCCTTCATGGCGAAGAACCTTTGCACCATTGCAAAAATTGATGACCACCGGGTGCCGTCCGAAGTTCAGGGGCCAAGGGCGCCAATTCACGAAACGCTGCCCGATTCTTGACCGTCCGGCATCGTAGCATCATGGCATGGATGCTGTCGAGAATGGATTCGTGGTTGTCGAGGAATTGGTGGACGACCAGGTTCAATCGATGACTTGCGCAGCCAACCATTGGAACGCCCATCATACGAGCCATGCACTGATTTACAGCAAATTGTCCCCAACAAGAAACGTAACAGGGTTAATCGTCCTGCCATACAGCTCCAACGTCGCCGCCAGAAATCCGACATGCTGTGCGGCAGACAAGTCGCCTTCGTCAAGCATCGGGGCAAAGGCAGGTATGGGTGTGTGAAGCTCCCCGTTCTTGCAGAACGTGGCGAGAACGCAATAAAATGACGCCCCGTCGGAAGACCAACCATCGAATACAAGACCAAAGCGCTTGGGAAGGTTGCTCCTTGGTCTTGGATTCGACAGCTAACACAACATTGTTCATGGTAGCACGGATGGTTAGTTTCGACGTTGGGCCAAGGTTGATGTCCTTTGCGTGGTCGGGTCTTAGACCGTGGACAGAGACATGTGCTTGGAGACAATGAGATCCATCCAGCCGTGAAGAGAGACATACGCGGGGGACACGTACAATGGGAAGGCGCAGCCATCGGCGGCGTTGGGTCGGAACCCTTCGTACAGAGATGCATAGTCGGGATGACACGAAATTAGATGGCTCATCAAGTTATAGTAATAGTAAGCCCTAGGAACTTCGCTGGTAAATCCGCTTTGAGCACAGTCGACAGTTGTGTTTATCGTCACCCATGTCACGAAGAAGGCAGCGTAGGAGGAGCTCGTATACTATAGTACGGGTTGATGGTGTCATGGCGTTTTGGGCAATGCATTTGATAGCCAATCTTTCAGTAGCTGATTCTACTGAAAGATTGGCGTTGTTGAGTTGATGATTCTACTGAAGGATTGGCTGTGAACCATTTCGGACCTAGGACAGGCCTATGTCGCACCTAGGTAACCTCGACATTTTTTGTACCCTCCATATGGCCCTAAGAATTAAATATGATATTCCCTAGGGAAAAACACAAAATAGGGCCCCTAGGTAATTTTTCCTTTATGGATTTCGCATCTCTGCATGCAGCCACACCAACGTGGTCACAACCGAGTTCTCCCCTGCCAAGAGACGTGTGGTCGCAGCACACGACGCCGAACAAGACTAGAAGTCCGTTGCTCGTGCATATGGAATCAACGAGTCCACTGCAAAAGGACGGCTCATGTTCGAGTCGTTGACTCCAATACAACGCGGTAAGCTACGGATACATAATACACATAACGATCTATATGGGGCTGCCACGGATGGTTAAACTCGTAATGAGTTTCGCATGCAATACTTGGAACACACAGCGGACGAGGCAATTGCAGGTATTCAGTCCATTTGTATCGTATTTAACTCAACAATGAAATAGAAATTGCGCCGAATTCTTTGCATGTGTACACGGCTCCCCTTGAGCCGTTTTATGTCCGTGCTGAGAACATGGAAGACGTGGACGTTGGTGCTTGAGCCGTAGATGTGTTGCTTGTGTTGGTTTTAACTCTCCCGGGCTCTAAGGATTTACTTTTCATGAAATATATAGGTGGTCAGGTGAAATATATTTTCGAAAGGTGAAATTAACCGTTGGTTGGGTGAATTATATCGGGGGATGGGTGAAATATAATAGCCAAATTTCAATTCGGCGTGAAATATAACGTTGACCCATTAAAATGGGGGTTAGGTGAAATATATTCTTGTTGGTGGAAATATTTTGAAAAAAGCAGAAATTTAACGCGAAATGGTGTAGTACTTTGAACCAAATTTTCGTAATATTAATTGGGCAGAAATTGGGGTCCCACCCTCTGTAGTCTTTCACATGTTTTAGACACCTGTCACTACAGTTAACCTCAATGGACATGAGTTTTTTTTAAACAAAGCGAAAGATAAAGTAATGTTATCAAAATATAAAGCTTACTTACAAGCTATGAACAAACATAAAAAGAGAACTTGTTATGGTAGAATAATGGGTCACCTCCAACCAATCTCAATAATTGTATTGAATATTTTATCCAATAGAATCTCATCATTTCATTTTACATTCAACCCTGTCACAATGACTATACCTTTGGACCAATCAAAATACTTAGGGTTAGGTAGGTCATACGAAACGGTCACATATAAATAATTGGTCGGAGGTTACCGAACATTATGGATATGCTGATACAAAATGCAAGATTAAGACATAACTCAAAGATAATCAAGGAGGGTCGACCGATGAGCATCGATCGCCTTCGCCCCCAGGCAACGAAGAACGCCAGGGCATCCGGTGACAAGGCCTTCATCCGGTTTATTGAAGCCGAGCGAGTTGAAGTGGATTATGTCAAGCTCTGCATTCGAAAGGACCCAAGTGGCCAGTGCTTCGCGGCGGTGATGGAGAAGCTTGCGATGTATCTTGCCGGATACGAGAAGGAAGATGGACTGCCATTGGCGAAGAACTCTGTCATCCAGTACTTTCGGCAAGCAAAGATGTCGCTGCTCGACGAATTCCCGCAGTTACAGCCGCTCGTGGACGCAAAGTTGTTGCGAGCTGGTAAGATACTGCAGAACTACTGCATCAAAAGAGGCAGCGGGGGAGTAGTGAAGCAAGCAATTGCGTGCACAAAAGTGTATTTACGTCGTATGGTCCAACACATATACAACAAGCATGCATGCACTGGCTCTGATCTACAAGACGCGGCGCTACTCATATTGCTCTGGTACTTGCTTGGTCGGGCCTCCGACATTACCATGGTGACGAAGTCTAGTCTGTCGATTGACGCCGGTGGAGTCTTTTTCTTGCGTTTTGTACGAGTCAAGACAAACGAGGTTCAAAGCCTTTCGTTGTTTCCATATTCCGACTTACTTACCTGTCCGATTCTGGCGATCGCATTGGCGACGATCTCGCAAGGAGCCCCTGGTGCTGCCATTGTTAGCAACCTACCCGTCCAGCAGTCCATCCTTACCTCTGACCTTGGCCCCGGGACACCTCTCATAGAGGTGCTTGACCACCCGGCGACTGTCCGCGAAGACGCTGCAGAATTTACATCCAAGAAGAGCGCTCCTACGATTCACAGCCATGTGAATTGTATTCTGGATCGTGTTTCTACCGTGGCTGGCGTGGACGAAAAGCTGTCGTCCCACTCGTTCCGTCGCGGCGGGGCTCAGCATGCAAATGGCTGTGAAGTCTTGACTGCGCGTTGGATCTTTGATCGTTGGGCTTGGAACATTACAGCTACGAACAAGGGCTTCAACTACATCTTCAATACGTCAAGCGAAGACCACAAGGCTGCGAAATTCCTCAGTGGCCACTCTACAACGGAGCACGTACCCCTTTTGGCGATTGAATCCATGAATGCTGGCACGTTGGAGAGGATTGGCGATGTCCAGCATCGATTGTTCGCGTCGTGCTATGGCCTTGACAACCGGGTATTCAACATAAACAAACATGTCATGGACACGCTCACTGCTTACCTATTCCGGCACTTCTCAAGCTTGAAAGCGCAGTGTCCTTCCAGTCCAGCTGTACAGCGGCTGGAAGCCTGTGTCGAGTTGGCTGGGTGCTCTACTGCTGACTTGCTCTCGTGGTCCACCCAGTTGTGCCTGCCGGCGCAACAACCACCTACTCGAACATCGTCGTCACACGAAGGTCAAGCCCTCTAAGAACATCAAGGGTGCACCAATCAACAGAGCATCATACGCGAACAAACCAATATAATTCTACAGCTGATTGCGGCATCCAAACGTCAAGACCAACGACTTCAAACGTTGGAAGCGCGTATGCACGTTGGACCGACGTCGACAGGCAAGCAAGCTGTGGCTGCACGATCGCCAACTACGAAAAACGCACGTGTAAACGTCGAGGCCGAATCAAATCCGGAACCTAAAGCACGAATGTCGTCCGTTTCGGCGCTTCGAACAACGTGGTTTCAGTCATACCCGCATGAGCCTCGACTGCACGCAAGCGCATCCTCGAAACAAAAGAAGTACATCGGCGGCCACGTTGTCGCTGAAGTTGTTTTTGGACGATGGGTTCATCATGGACATGCGAAGCTTGACGTGCCGAGATGACGTTTTGCGTTACGGGGTGAACGCGGAACAGGAAACCCTGGCGTTTCTCCTTCAGCATGAAGTTCGCTCACGAGGGTCGTCTGCAGCGCTCAAGGCACTACAAAAGATCCATCGTTCAGGCGCCCTCAATGCCAGGATTGCACACTACCATCAATTGATAGCATCGGGAATGACCACTTGCCCGGCACCACCAGCCACACATGATATCCTCGAAGAAATGGCCGCGTCATAAGAGGATTTTTCCGTCTAAACGTGTATAAATACATTTAATTAACTCTCTACTTGAGTGTATTCAGACATATCGTGGGACAGAATGTAAATGCTGTTATATACAAACAGACTCACCAATACCAGACATATCATGGAACAGAATGCAAATGCTATATACACAAACAGACGCACCAAAAAACGATCCCCGTATTGCAACCCCTGTTGGCCCACCAAGTCCCGACGTACGTGAGAATCAAGCAACAGCTCGTACGTCGACCTTGGGACCCACGAGCGATCAAATCCGGTGGGCCACGGCTGCAGCAAACGGCGACTCGTATGAAACACTCATCCTGCGATACATTAGTATGTATGAGTACATATAACACACATGCATATACATACATATCACCCCTGTGATGGGGTACCGATATCACATCGCCGGACCACCCCGATTGCAACCCCTGTTGCCCCAACAAGTCCCGCCGTACGTGAGAATCAAGCAACAGCTCGTACGTCAACCTTGGGTGGGACCCACGACCATTTTAAGTACGTCTAAGCGAATAAGTATATTTTGACGTACGTCTAAGTCGTATTTAAGTAAATATATATTGAGCTAAATATAGCCAGAACAGAATTGCCCCTCCTCATGTCGCTCAATAAAATTTCTTGAACATTTCTTCTCTTGATTTAAGTAAACAGGGTTTCAGACAAATTAGTCCATTCGTACGTCTTAGGCGTACGGTACGTCTAAGATGCATTTTGGTCCAAGGGGAGTTAATACTGTAGTTGGTACTGCAGTAAGCTTAGTAGTAACAAAATAATAACGTTACGGATGATGTATTTTTTTATGCAAAACACATAGTAAACGTCTACCCACAGACTACGATTTCGATATAGTGGATTCACCCTCACATTGTTTCCAACAGAAGAGCAACCCATGATCGTCGAGGAGGCGCTGGAGAAGCGGGACATCCTGGGACAAAAGGTCAAAGAATTCAACGCCGTGGCCTGCCAAGGTTGATTTAACTACTATCAAAGTGCACAAAAATTCCCTTCACAGCAAACCGGAGGCTGCAACCCGTAGTATGCCACCACAGATCATACCCCGCTTGTGGAGAATAATACAGGTGAAACAACTGAAATCGTGTGACTTTTGGAGTCACACGGTTTCAGATGTGACTATAGAGTACAATTTGCCGTTGAAACGTCGCCATGCCCACAGTCAGCGTCTTTGTTGCGCCGTCGGTGTCGTCTGAAAACGAGTCCCCTGTGGATCACTTGACAGAGCTCCACAACCCCGACAGCCCGACCGGTCGGAAGCTGTCGCACCAGCCCAAGTCCGAACACCACCATGACATCTTCGACTCGCATGCGGCCATGACTCTGTTCCAAGCCATGGAGGCTGGCGCGGGCTGCGTCTACATCGTTGTGACGGTGTTGTGGGGAGTGTGGTACATCTCGGTGCTGTCGCCGAGTTTATCCAACGACATGTGGTGGCCAGACTTCAATGCAACGGGGACCCAGACGTTTCTGGGGGACATTGCGAACGTGCAACCGTGTCCGCGTCGGCGTCGCTCGACTTGTTTGGCAATGCGGCCACGTGGATCAAAGATTACAGCGGCCCGTCCACGCAGTTGGCGCTGAGTCCAATCTACCCCCGTCAACTATTGCTCGAATCCACCACGAATTTAGAAGATGTGATCCTAGGCATCCACGCGACGAGTTTCAGGTTCAACATGCGCACGTTGATCCAGTACTGTTGGGTGGATTTTGACCAACGGTTTGAACTGGCCCACACCGCGCTCCGCCAGGACCGGTGCGCCCTCAACAACGCCAACAACGCCGCGACGTACCTCGAGACCCTCTTGCGCAACATCAAGTGGGCAGACCTCGAAATTGAGTACGGAGCGGGCGGGGGGGTCTTCGACAAGGCCATCGCGACTGGCGTCCGATCCTTTCCGTCCGGCGCGGCGTGGCTAGCGTCCGTGAAGGACGCGTTTCAGGACGTGGCGTCGGAAGCGGCGTTGTGGAGATCGAAAAATGCGACGCGCTGGCAGCTGCAATGGCACAACGCGTGGCAGGCGGGCGTGGACGAAACGGTCGTGATCAAGAATGCGCTGGGGATGCGGCAGAACTTGGCGATCAAGAAGGTGGCGTACGTGCACCGAGGGCCGGCATGGAAAACCATGACCATGTACTCCGGCTTATGCAATGACTTTGCCTACGCAGCGTCGGGCAATTATTCGCTTGTACGGGGAAGCCCCCAACGAGAGAATCTCGATGAAATGACGTTTATGCGCAAAACAAGCATGGGCTTCACAACCATGAGCGCCGTGTGGTGGGTTGTGGTTGGCCCGTACGGGTCAATCGACATGATGTACGTGTCTGTGCCGCCGAGCCTTGGGGCGGCGCTGCTTGCGTACCGGACGACATTCATGACGCTGATGAAGGCGGGCGATGTGCTCGTGGCGGATGTCCGCGCGGTCGTCCCTGTGGACGTGAACCCCGTCCCCCAGCTGTGGAAAGACCCTGACTTGATGTATTTTGGCGGCAACCCCGTTTGTGGAGGCAGCGGCGCGCCTCGGTCGTATGTGATGGAGCTGTTTGGATTTGACGACATCTGCCTCTCTCGCATCCCCCTCACGGTCAAGTTAACCCCTGCAAGCGTTGTATTTGCCCTTCTCGGGCTTCAAAGCAGCTCTGGGGATGGCCCTACGTCCACCACAGCCGTGTGTGACTTGTGTGGAGCGACGGCCGGTGCGTGCATCGCGGCCTTGGCGGACGCAGCACCGGTGTTCCAGCGATGGGGAACGCTGGATGCAACTACAAAGCGGCTGTTCCAAAACGTGGCCAAAGACGTCGGTCAGATCTACCTGTTTCAGCTTGCGCAACAACTGTCCACTCGACAAGCCACGTACTTGATCCAAGCGATTGTGAACGGCACGGACAACTGGAGTTTCTTTGGCTGGATTCAATTGTACGACTGGGCCATGCTAAACCGCGAAGTCGTGTGGTTTGATGGCGACGTCAGCTCCATCACGTTGATGTCCAAGGAGTACGCCCCCCTTACGTTTACCCCCAGCACCCTCGAGATCCCCGAGCGGGCGGGGAGATACTTTTACATTTTGACACTTTACACCAGCAGCATGCTTGCTTTCGTCGCGTCTGGGATGCTCATCGACAGCCTCGCGACGCATTTTCGAGTGTTGGGGCGGAATCTCTTTCGCTTCAACCGCGTCGCAGGGTCCGTTTGGGTCGGGCGAATCTTCCTCTTGGTCCGCGGCATGACCGCCGTCGTCCTCCTCTCCACGTCCAACATTGAATTCTCGAATCGCAACACGCTAACGTCGTTCCAGTGGCACGCGTCGCCCATTTTGGAGCGGCTTCTCATGACGGGGGAAGCCACGTGGGTGGTGAATGTCGTGCAAGACTTGTTGGTCGTGCTCACCAACAACTACTCGTACTACGCTGCCCCCCTGAGCTCGTGTGTGGCGTGGTTACTCATCTTTATCCTCGAGGCTACGTCCCCTGTGAAGGCCACCGCCACCCTTGAACGAACGTGCTCGACGCTCGTGATGGCTAAGCAAGTTGCTTGCACCAGTGGCGTGATTCAATTCGGCAGCTCCGACCGGGTGTTTACCATCTTGGCCATCCAAATGGGTAGCATTATCGTCGTGTACGTCTTGGCGGTGCTGCGCCGGTGGCGACGCGACCTCCCGGCAGTGACGCTGCTCGTTTCCGGTCCGGCAGAAACCTACCTCGACATTCACGTCGACAGCGGACAAGGGAGAATCGCCAGCTTCGATAAGGCCACCTGTGTCATGTGTGGCCTGTTGAGCATCGAAATCGGCGATGTCCAATACTTTTTTGACATCAAGTCGTGGATGCTCATCAGTCAGAAACGCCCCAGTCATAGCCGAGGCATGCTCAGTCACGCCGCGTCCTTCCGCCCCCCGTCCATGGACTACCGGTACCTCCCCTCGGCGGGGGATCATACCTCGCGCCCATTTGGGCTTGTGAATCGGATGATCGCTGTGGGGGGGCTCATGTACATGATGAGCTCCATTGGAGGGGCCGTCTTGTACATTCTTTCCACCAAATACAACATGGCCAATGACTTTTGGTGGCCATACTTCAACACTACGGGCACCCACGCGTATCTGGGAAATTGGTACGCGGTGCAGTTGTCGATAAACCCGAAAGGCTTCTCAACATCGTTGGCGAACGTCACGTATGGCGACACGATCAAGTACAATTCGTCGAGCACGGTCATTTCCGTGAGTCCACTGTATGGCCGTATCGTTCAATTTGAAGAAATCAACACGGTGTCGCATGCGATTGTCGGGTTGCGGCTGTCGGACGTGTGCCAAATGCCGTGGATCATGACACAGTACTGTTGGTTAGACTTTGCTAAACAGTTTCCTATGGCCAACACACGAGCCCGTCAACGTCGCTGCGAGTTGTACAAGGCAAACGGGGCCGTGTATTTGGAGTCTGCGCTGCGCAACCTGGATTGGCCATCGTTTCTAAAGTGTTGGGGTGATCGATTTGAATTGTCCATCGCAAGCGATTTGAAAACCACACCAGAGGGCACTCGATGGCTTGAATCTGTCCAGCAAGTCACGACGACAGAGGACGAGGAGGCAGCGTACTGGGGCACGGTACCCGTTCTTCACTACACGATGCAATACCAAAACTTCAAACGGCTGGGCGTGGTGGAAGCGTTCAATATCGAAAATGCGTTTGGGGTATCGTACCCGATGACCATCAAGTCCACCAAAGGGCTCATGCAAATTGACATCCAAACATCTATGAAACTGTACTGGAGCTTTGCTTACGACTTGACAGATGCCTCGAATAACAGCTTGCTTGCGTCCAGCTCGACCTACGCGTATACCAACAACTCGATAGAATCGGCTTTGACGGACGCTGGCATCGTGAGCCAGCCGTTCTACAGCACCTTTGAGTCTGTGCGTCAGATCATTGGTCCGTTTGGCTCTATCGACGCGTACCATGTACCGTTTCCGTCTTCGTTGCAACTGTTTTACAAACTCGCGGCCGAATCAGTGGCTCAAGTCGTGGCACTCAACAGCGCCGCTCAAGTAGCGTACTTTAACCTGCCATTGCCGTCGTCGTGGTTGTATTGCCCCAGCGCGTGGCGAGGAACAAATCGGTTTACAGGCAACTTGCTGTGCAACCCGGGGACTGCTACAACGTCGAATCAAATGCTGACGCTGTGGGCAGACGGCGGGTGTTCTAGTGTCACAGAGTCCACCTACCCGACCTTGTCGACCAACGTCATCTCTGCGCTGTCTGGAACTGTCACTGACGCTGCCTCTAAGTGTGCCAATGAACAGCACACTGGTGGGGACGTTTGTACTGGCCTAGTGCAAGCCACGGTCAACTTTACGACGTCGTTCTTTACACATGACCAGCTCGCATCGTTTGCTACTGCAGCGAGTAGTGCTCAGCACGACATCACGACTCTGAACGTGACCATGGTGCAGTTTGCGGTGTTGAATGGGGCCATGGTAGCCCAACCTTTGTTCCCAGAGGACCCGAGTTTTTACTTCTTTTCATGGGGGATCGCGTTGGAGTGGCTGCTCGGCCGACGGGAAGTCGTGTCGTTTCAAGGCGATGTCGACACGATGGTGTTGATGAGTGGCATCAACTTCGCCATCGACGCCCTGCCCAACCCCCTGGAGATTCCGGCCAATATCGCACTCTACTTTCGTGGGTCGGTGCTGTACATCACTGCCATGTTGGCGTTTGTCGCGGCCCTCGCCACGGGGTACATTGTCTCCAGTGCGGGTCACATCGAAGGCCTTAACATGCTCGAGATGAACCGCGTGGGGGGAATCGTCTGGACCGGTCGACCGCTGCTCTTTCTTCGCAGCATGGTGGCTATTTGCTTGCTCAGCACCGCCACGTTAGACCTCAAGCAATATGGGCCCCTTGGGGGCATCACGTCGTTCGATTTGAGCCACCTTGAGCTGTATAAACTGGTGCTCGCGGCCGGCGAAGTCAGTTGGTTTGTATATGTTGTGTGCGACATTTTGATCCTGGTCACGCGAGCCTACACGACGACGTACGCAGTCATGTGTGGGCTCTTGGCGTGGGTCGTCGCGGCCGTGTTCAGTGTCGGGTTTCCAGTGACCCATTCCGCCACTGTCGACCGTCACTGCGACGTGGTGCAAATGGACTTTCAAGTAACCTGCGACGCGGGCACCCTGTACGTGGGCAGCATCGGGCGGTTTGTACAACTGGTGGGCATCTCCCTCGGTTGCATCGTCCTGTGCTATACCGTCGAGCGCTTTCGACATCCGAATTTAGTCGACTCAAGGGCGAACGTGTCGCTGCTGCTCTCCACGGGCGGCAAGTACTTCTTCGCCCTCACCAACTGGAAGTACAAGGACTGCTATTACCTGGACAAGGCGTCGGCGGCGATCGCGGGAGTGCTGTGTATATCCTTCCATGGCAAGTTTTACGTGCTAGACATCAAATTGTGGCGCGTGTTTGTTTTGGAAATCCCCGACGACCTGAGTGTCCCCCCCGGAGACATCATGCACGTACGATCGAAATACGCGTTTCCGTTAATCGGAAGTGGAATTTAAGGGCGAAGGTAATGATGTCACAAAGCCATGGTGTGATTTGCTGTTGCATTTCTCATCGTTGAGTGGAAAACACCCTGTACATGCGCAGGAGCAGAACCTGAATTGCAATCTGGGAGTTGCCATGTACTATTATTAATACAAAGTACTATCATTAATAATACGTAGTATTAGTAAAGTACCAATGCATGGTTACAGTACTACTGTACGTATTGTGCACTACAAATTCCCACAATCTATGTGGCGTAGTGGCCACGACTATAACGTTAAACTAGGTAGTTTCCTGCGAGAGGTTTTGAGGTTTTGATCTGCGATTACGTCGAAGATTTGTACGTTTCAGCATAATCAACACGCACATGAATTACCTCGAGCTTTACGTCGAGTGGACAACCGTTCGATGTTTGAGGTTGTCCACTCGACATCAGACCACTCATGCTAAGTACGGATGAAACCAACATGAAACCGCCATACCATCCAGTTGTGCCCTTTGAGACGAAACGACCGAAGTCTGCATCCCGCGAAAAAGCACCCACATATACGGCTTGTAACGCAGGTTCTGGCGTCCCTAATGCCAGAGAGACTGAAAACATGCCACCACCACGGGTCTCACCTGAGAGTAACACTTGGATTCCGACCCTAAAGCCTGCCCAACCCAGTCGCAGTTGGTCGCAGACGTTGGAGCTGTTGGCGGGTGCAGTGTACGTGGCCATATCGGTATTCTGCAGCGCATGGTACTGCACCCACAGTGCACCGTATTTGACCAACGACATGTGGTGGCCTCGCTTCAACACCACGGGGACCCAAACGTTCCTCGCCGACGTCTTGAACGCCAAGCTGGCCACCACGGCATCCGTGCCGTCCCTCGATCTATGTGCCGCCAACAGCGCCGTGTACGGTCGGTATGACTTGGACACGACTTCCGTGGCTCAAAGCCCCGTCTATCCTCGACATTACATGCTCGGCGCGCATTCAGATTTCGAGGACGCCATCAGCGGGATGCACATGACTACGGTCGCGTTTAACTTGCGCATGTTCACGCAGTACTGCTGGCTGGACTTTGACAAGAAATACCCCATTGCACACACGGCGGCCCGCCAAGATCGTTGTGTGCGCAGCGAGGGTGACAACGCCGCCGTACACATGGAAGCTTTGCTGCGAAACGTCGTGTGGAAGGATTTCGTGAGCGCGACGGGAGGGCCCACATTGACGGGCAACTTTGAGCGCCCCCTTAGCCAATACCCCGGCGGAACCGCCTGGATGAACTCTGTCAAAGACGCGTTTGTGAACGTGCCGACCGAAGTGGCGTACTGGAAAAGCAAAGCAATGATGAGGTGGCAACTCCAGTGGCAAAATGCGTGGCAACAAGGCATCGACGAGATGATTACGGTCGTGTCGGCCCTCGGCATGTCCCAAAGCTTAGCTATCAAGCGCGTGCCGTACTTTCACCGCGGGTCGGGGCCGTGGACGTCTGTGGCCATGTACTCTGGCTTGTGGAATGAAATCGGGCGCGCGGTGATGGGCAACTTTTCCTTGATTCGCGGGTCGGCTACGCATTACTCGTTGATGAACTTTACGTTTGAAATGGCGATTTCGATCAACCCCACGTCCGTGCAAACGTTGCTATGGCATCAGGAAGTGGGCACGTACAACACGATCGACATGAAGTTTCAGTCGATTCCGCCCTCCGTGGACGCACTCGCCACTGCATTCCGACAAGCGCTTGTTCCGGCGCTCCAGACTACTCTGGGGGATGCGTATAATGCGATTCCGGATGTGGTCGTAGACCCAGCCCCCCCAGGTTGGATAATCGGAACCAATTTGACCTACTACGGTGGCAACCCGCTCTGTTTCACTGGCAGTGCGCAGCCATTCATTCAGCAAAACTTTGGCTTCGACGACGCGTGTCTTACCCAAGACAAGCTGACCATGACCTTGACACGATCGGCGATTGTGTTTGCGTTAATGGCATCTGGCGTGTCGGATGTTGCAGGCATCTCTCGGATTTGCTCGTTGTGTCAAACTACCTCGACGGCTTTGTGTCTCGCGTCCCTTGGACCAGGGTTGGATGTGGCCGCCAACATTCCAATGTCATTGCAAGCGTTGGTCGCGGCTGTGGCGGCGGACGTTCCCACCGTGAGCCTCATGCAATTTGCCGTCAACAGCACCACCCCCGTTCTGCTTCGCCAGCTCCTCTTGGACCCCACCGATGCCGCGTGGTCTTTCTTTGGGTGGATCCAGCTCTTTGACTGGGGGTTGAATCGGCGCGAAGTTGTGTCCTTTGAAGGCGACGTCAGTGCTCTGCCCCTCATGTCGCGCGCGTACACTTTGCAATCGTTCCAGCCCAGTCCGGTGCAAGTGCAGCACAGCGCCAGTGACTACATGATTGTCTTGACAGCGTACGCGTCAGTGCACTTGGTCCTTGTCGCGCTGTTGCTTCTAGGGTACGGCGTCTTGACTCGCACACACGTGCGTGGTCGCAACTTATTCCGGTTCAATCGCGTCGTGGGGTCGGTGTGGGTCGGGCGCGTCATCCTCATGATACGTGGCATCACCGCGTGTATACTGCTGTGCACCGCCCCCATCGCAATGGTCACTTCCAGTCGAGGGTGGACGTCGTTTGAGTATTCCACCCGAGGAGTTGTCGAAAGCGTCCTCGTCACGGGCGAAGCGACGTGGATTTTGTACGTCGTCCACGACTTTCTGGGCATTGTGACCACCGAGTACGCGTATTACTATGCCCCGATCAGCTCGGCTCTAGCGTGGGTGGTGATGTTTGTCCTGGAGCTGACGTCGCCGATCCAGGCCACGGCGTCCATCGACCGGCAATGCTCGACTTTGGTGATGGGGAAACAAATTAAATGTGTCAGTGGCACCGTTTATGTCGGAAGCGTAGGCCGGCTGTACGCTCTCTTTGCTATCTTTGGCGGCAGTGTAATTGTCGGAATGGTGCTCGCGTTTCCCATGCGGGACCGCCGGCGGCAGTCCGGGGCGAATCTGGTGCTTGGAGGAATTGGCGAAACGTTTCTGGACCCTTCCAAGGGAGATCTGGGGGACGGCATGAATGTCACAGAAGGTGTGGCGTTGGACAACGTGTCGTGCGTCATGTGTGGCCTGCTGGTGTATCGGGTGGAACGGACGGTGTACGTATTTGACCTCAAGCTGTGGATTGTGTTTAAAGTGCAATCTGGTACGCCCACGTTACCCCCAATCACGAGCTTTCACAGCTCGGCTATCAAGCGGATCCCATCGAGCCCAGCTGTGGCCGCCACGGACAGCAAGAACCATCTTCGATGGAGGGATCATGTGCGCGCAGGCGCGGGCTTTGCCTACATGTTTTGGGCGCTCACGGGCATGGTTCTGTATATTCTCGCCACTCAGGAAAACATGGCCAACGACTTTTGGTGGAAAGGGTTCAACTCCACTGGCACCCATGCGTACCTGGGAAACTGGTACAACCTCCAGCTAATGCTGAACCCGCACGTGTCGGAGCGAGTGTCGCTCACCAACACAAAATACGCCGACTTGGTGCTGTACAACACGACCAGCACGGTAATCTCTGGCAGTCAAATGTACAGTCGGACGGTGCAATTCGAAGAAGCAAATGCCCTGTCGACAGCGATACAAGGCCTGCGAGTGATGGATGCGTGCTTGGTGCCGTGGATTTCGACGCAGTATTGCTGGCTCGACTTTGAGCGACGGCACCCTATGGCCAACACGGAAAAGCGGCAGACGCGATGCCACGGGTACGCCTCGAACGCTGCCGTGTACTTGGAGTCCGCCCTGCGCAACGTGCAATGGGATCGGTTTCAATTGTGTTGGGGCACGTCGTTTGAAGTCGGGTTTGCAGTGGAGCTGCGATCGAGCCAGGCGGGGACCGATTGGCTCGCGTCCGTGCGGCAGAGAACTACGACGGTCGCCGACGAAGTCGCAGTGTGGACGCGAGCCCACTTGGGGGAATACACGACCCAGTACCAAAACTACAAGGCGGTGGGCGTCACGGAAACGTTTTACGTTCAGAATTCGTTTGGGATTCCGTACTCGATGACGCTCAAGGCGTCAAAAGGCACGTTCCAACTGGGATTGGCCACCACGCTCAAGCTGTATTGGACATTTGCCAGTGATTTGTGGGCCATTACGTCGCCGACAACAGCGATTGTTGGAACGAGTTTGCTTCGACAGAGTGCCAACTTTGCGTTTGCAAACACGACGATCGAATCGGTCTTGGCCGCGAATGGAACTTTGAACCATCCGTATGGGGTGTCGTTCACGTCCTTTCGACAACTCATTGGCCCGTTCGGATCTGTCGACGCCAGGCACGTCACGGTGCCGTCGTCGGTTCGAACTCTGTACAAAGCAACGATCGAATACCTCTCTACCCTTCTGTCGACGACCAATGCCAGCAGCAATGCCCAAGTCAATTTTTCGTCTATCCCCATGCTCAGCGCATGGTCCGCGGTCCCCCAAGCGTGGTTGTATACCCCTCGCAGCATTGGCGGCAGTCTCCTGTGCCCCGAACAGCCTCCGTACCCCGGGGCACTTCTAAGTTACTGGCAAGATGGAGGGTGCTCGTCTGCCGTCCGAGAAACGGCAACCCCCACCCGCCAACGGTCGTTTGCAAACATGTTGGCGCTAGGCCTGGGTGACGCGTCCCCGTCAACGCTGGCTGCCATTTGTACGCGAGAAACGTTTCTAACCGCGACATGTGTGACCCACTTGACCAGATTCCAAGAATTTATCAACACCTATGTGCCGCCTGCGGTGCGTGCCGAGCTCTTTGCGCTGGGCCAGACCACCCAGCTAGAACTAACAACTGTCACTCGCATTGGTTTGTACCAACTGCTCCCCCAGGCCCCGCCGTCAACGTCATATGAAGGCGTCTTCCATCCCATTTTCGACGCCGCAGACCCAGAATTCTACTTTTTTGCGTGGCAGTTTGTGTTTGAGTGGCTGTTGGGCCAGCGCGACGTGGTGTCGTTCGAAGGTGACATGGGCAGCCTAACCATCTTCAGCTATGTTTTGAACACGGTCGACACGCCACCCAACTCCCTCGAAGTCCCGTACAACGTGGCGTTCTACTTTCGCGGCTGCGTCATTTACGCCACGGCCGTCTTGGTCGTTGTTGCGTCCATGGTCACGTATCACGTGATTGCCAGTCGGGGGCACATTGAAGGGTGGAACATCCGCAAGATCAACCGAGTGGGGGGGGTCATTTGGATTGGCCGTCCCTTGCTGTTGCTCCGCAGTCTCTTGGCCGCGTGCTTGATTAGCACCGACAATTTGGCGCTGGTGCAGTTTGGACCCATAGGGGGTACGTCCGCGTTTGCCCCCAACCCCCTTCCGTGGTACAAGGTCATTCTCGTGTCCCTTGAAGTCATCTGGTTCTCGGACGTGGTGGGGGACATTCTCGTTGTTATCACCAAGGCGTACACGATGCAGTACTCGGTCAAGTCGATCGTGTTGATCTGGCTCACCACGGTGATTCTGACGTTTGCGTCGCCGGTGGCCCACTCGGCGTCCGTCGACCGGCATTGCACTGTCGTGCACGTGGACTTTCAGCTGACGTGCACGGCGGGCACGCTGTACGTGGGCAGCTTTGCCCGGTTTTGTACGTTGTTGTGTTTGTCGTTAGGCTCGACATTGCTCTGTTTTCTGTACGAAAGACTCCGGCACCCGCAACCAGACACGACGTGCGCCAACGACTCGATCTTGTTGTCGTCCGGGGCGCGGTACCTCTTTCAACTCCGCCAGTGGCAGTACAACGGGTACTGTTTCCTGGACAAAGCGTCGGGCGTGATCAACGGCGTGTTGTGCGTGGAACTTGGCCACACGTATTACATTCTCGACATCAAATTGTGGAAAACGTTTGTGATTGACCTTCCCGAAGAAGCGCGGGTCCCGCCTGGCCACCCCATGCATTCAAGGCTACGATGCGCGTTTCCACTGCTCGACCACGCTTAAGTCTACGGATTCCTAGAGTCGTCATGCTAGACCGTAATTTAGTATCGTATTTATCCCTGAAGTGTACTATTAATAGATAATATCCGAGATATTATTGGCCAACTTTCAGCCAATAATCTGTTGTCTTGACATTGGACGCATCCAACAAGGAACAACATCCGTATGTGCAGGTGATATTTTCCGGATAATGTGGCACGGAATTGTTATCAATTTTTTATTAATAAATGTTCCACCTGAAAATGCTTTAAAACTCACACGATCTACATTTTTTCTCCTGATTTGAAATCACTATTACAATGCGAATTTTGATAAGAGGACATCTCCATCCTAGGGTCTCAAAAAGTGGCACCGAACTGTGCCCTTACCTTACGTATACGGATCTGTGATTTGCCGATTTTGACCTACATTCAATCGACCATATCTGGCGAAGTTCAAATTATCTCGACGTGAAAGTTCTCCACTCGAACTCCATTCGTCAAGAACGATTGGTTTGGAGGCGACCGATCGTTTCGGTGACCTTAATTACCACTGATGCATAGATTCTACTATCTAGTACTTTACTAGTTTGCACTTTTGAGAGGCCTTTGTGCCTGTAGTTGTGTCCTTTGACTCACTCAAAAGTCGTAAGAAGTCGAGTTATTTCGAATAATATACATCTTTTGATCAGGTTGGCGCTTCCTGAGTAGGTTTGGCAGTAATTTGGAAATTCGGCGGTCTGAAACCAAATAATCCGGATATTTCCACGTTGGACACTACAGTACTCCGGACACACGGAGTATCTAATTATCATGGACACTATTTCGGATAGAAGTATTTCGGAGTACCACGATATTGCTGTGAATAACGGTTACTACGTAGTAGACACGAATGACTGATTTTGGGGCCTACTGAGGTGTACAGTATACTTGTCGGGATGCCTTGGTGTTTTTGGCGATTCAATTATAGTAATCTGTTGCCACAAGGGTTGGAATATAATTTCACTATTGGGCGAGTTTGCTGTTTGACCTTACGATAAAACTAGTTAATGCTACAAATGTTGTCCTGACACTGCTAAATACTGGCGGGGACGCCGCCGTGCGACGTGCGCTCGCTCTTTTGAAACGTGAGCAGCACGGGCTTGGGTCCAATCTGCAGCAAATGCATGGCGTTGCGGAATCCCATCTTGCTGATGTTGTTGTTGTTTATGCTCACGAGGAGGTCGCCAATGTGCACCTTGTTGGGCTGTCGTAAGATCGCGCCTTCCGGTTTCACCTTGGTCACTTCGGGGTAAAAGCTCGAAATCGCCTGCTTGACCACAATCCCCAACGCGCCGTCCTCGTCCTTCCACGTAATGTTGTACAGCGAGTCGTCCAATTTCGGGTTCAAACTCATGACACTAAGTCGACTCAACGCGATGCTGTCCCGGTCGCTGAATCGCACGCCGGTGCTGTCGCCGTTTCGCAGAATATCCCGCACGCTTTCCCGGCTCACTACACTCGAAGTCCCGCTCAGATTTGTGTCTCGAAGCGACAATACGCTGTTGTCGTCCATGTCGTCGGGGTCGGCGCGCTGGAAGCGCAACACCACCGGCCGAGGCCCTTCCTCCAGCAGCGTGATCACCCGTGAAAAGTCGATTCGGTACGTAGAAATCTCGTTGATCGCAGTCAAGTAGTCGCCCAACCTCACGTTAAACATGCCTGGAATCTGGGGGTTCCCCCGGCACTTGGACACACACGGCATGCCGCGTTTCATGTCAGGCTTGAACCCAAGGCCAAGCGGAATGCTGTCCCGCCACAGCACTTCGTACTCGTCCAACATGAGCGCCGACGACTCGCGCATACTCTTGTGTGTCCGCTGGAACCGGAGGCTCACGGGCTTGGGGACGTCCTGCAGAAGCTTGAGGATGTGCCGGATGTCGTTGTGCGCGACCATCTGCGAGCCCACCGAGAGGAGGACGTCACCTCGACTCACGTCAAAGATGTCGGCGCATGTGCTCAGGGTCTCATGCACTCGCCGGACGATCGGGAGGCCCGACGTGTCGTCGCTCTCAAAGTACAGCCCCAGCATACCGCACTCCCACGTGATTTCGTACTCTGAGTCTCGGACGAGGACTTTGGGGATCGTGGACGATCGAGACGGCGACGACGACGTCGATTCTGTCGGGGCGCTGCCTTCATCGTCCGAGTCGCTGAATTCGTCAAACGAGACCGCGCGCACCACGGTGGGTTTCAGGGGCACGAGCACCTTTGCGACGGGAACTTGTTCTGTGGACATGGGGGGTGATTTGACGTGGGGGGAAAGAAGTTGAACGGGGGACGGGGTATGCAGACTTGCTTGCGCGGCTACTTCTTCCGCCGCCGCTGCCGCCTTGTTCCGCGCCTCTTGGGCCAACTGCGCACGTTCGACCATTGCCGCGGCCCGGGCGGCTTTGTCCACTAGAATCTTGCGGCGGGTGGCGGCCCGGCGACCGAGGAATCCCCGTGCGATACGGTGCAGCACCGTCGCCGCTTGGTTGCAGCGGTGGAACTGCCGACGGCATCCAAGCATGCGCACCCTGGACTGGATGGTCGTGGCGGCGTGAACTTCCCGCGCCACCTGTTGCAACGCACGAACGTGGCGCTGGGCAGTTACCGATCGCAGCCAGCTTTGGACCGTGACGATGGCACTTCGGACGAGTCGGTAGCGCCGACGGGCGACAAACCCGCGACCGATCCGCTGCAACGTGCCTGTGGCGGCCCCTTGCAGCGTCACTTGCACCCGATGGAGGTGCTGGTACGCGGCTTGGATCATAAACACCTTGGTGAGGCCTATCTGGAATGGATGATCTAACGCCCCGAGGTCCGCGTGGGCTGCTGTCAGCGCCGCCACTTGCGTCGCCAAGTCGGCCGTCTTGTCGGTCAAGAGGGGTCGAAACTCGCGCTGGAAAATCGCGTGTGGCATCCGGACGGGGTATCCCGCCCTGGAAATCTTGACGGCTTCCAGGACTCCGCTGCATCGGAGTTGCTCTAGAACGCGCGGGGCGGTAAACTCGGCGGGGTGCAACATGTCATTGGGTTTAATGCATCGGACAAAGTGCGGGACCGTGGCGTGGAGCAGCTCGAGCAAGGTTGTGAGCTGACTCTTAAACTTGATCACGACCGACGACGACACGGCACCGCCGCCGCCACCACCACTTGACTGACGTTTCGACGAGTGGGAATGTTTGCGCATGTGCGACGACGTTGGTGACGTTCGAAACAACGATGTCACAAACGGCAATGTGGACCCTACGAGCAACTCGAGCGCTTCGGGGTGGACGCTGTCCTTGTTCTTGTCGCAAAAGCCAGCGGTGCTGTACACAACTGTGCCGGCATAATGCACGACGGCAAACTGGCCGTGGCCTCGCTGCAGCTTGGAGCTTTGAAAACAGGACGAACCACTGAACGTGTCGTAGAATTTCGCCGCAAGTTGTGTGTCGTTGCCCCGGGGCACAAGGCATTGCTCATCCAGGAGCGAAAACAGACCCATGGGGCGGCCGTCCACCAATGAAACGCACTCGTCGTTGCTGGGGTACGACACGAACGTCCACTCGATGGCTTCTTGGACGTACTCGCGTTGCTCCATATCAAAAACAAACGACGCAAACAGTTGCTGGAGCTTTTCATTCGCATAGTTGATGCACAGCTGTTCCAGCGAGTTGGTCGCAAAGATCTCAAACCCAAAAATGTCGACAACGCCAATGAACCGGTCGGCGGACGCGGCCGCGGCTACCGCGCTGTTGATGCGCTCCACGAGGTAATCAAACACCCGCGAGTAGATGGTCTTTGCCACAACGTCGCGTGCGACAGTGGCATGCGACGCTGTCAATTTCACAACGACATGGTCCAAACCAGCCTTGATGCGTCGGGTGGTCATGCTCGTTTCCATTGCCGCCACATCGAGCCCAAGCAACTTGCTTACAATCGACACGACGTCATCACACTCGTTGGTGGCCAACGACGACACGGCGGCGTGGCCGTCTGGATGGGACACGAACGAGATGTTCCCGAGGTGGAGCACCGCCGCCACGAGTTGGAGCACGGACGTTTGGTCGTGCGACGAGATGTCCAACGTTGTCATGGCACGCAACGTTTTGCCAAACTGGTCGCCGTCGTCCACGTTGTCCTCGCGGTCAACACACCCGCTTTGGTTCAAGTACTGAAACGAGTGGACAGGAGACGACGACAAGTGAAATGTGTGACGAAGTGCAGCGGACGCGCCCCGCACCAGTTCGTAAAAGATGTGGTAGTTGCGCTCACCTTTGGCCTGCGACACGAGCCGGACGCGCTCCAGGAGGTACGTCGAGATGGACGCGCCCTGCAGGCCGCCCGTGGCCGCGTCGAACCCGAGTCGAATGAACTTGCCGAACCGACTGCTGTTGTTGTTGCGCGTGGTCTTGGCATTCCCAAACGCTTCGAGAATCGGATTGGATTCCAGGACGCGCTGCCGAATCGCGCATGTGTCGTCCGCGTCTGTAGAAGACGAGACGGCGGCCAAGTACGTCATGAGGATCTTGGTGGTTTCCGTCTTGCCAGCGCCGGATTCGCCGCTGACGAGGATGCTCTGGTTGGGATTGCCGTTGTTGAGCAGGCTTGTCATGTCCCGATACGCTTTGTCCGCGACAGAAAACACATGCGGCGGCAACGGCCGCAACTTTTCGCCACGGACACTTTGGCGGTAGCCGTGGTCAATGTACTGCTGGACGGTGGCGTCGTCGTACAGCCGTGGCAATGTCTGGAACGGATTCACGGCGACGAGAATGGTACCTGTGGAGGTGTAGATGTCCTGTTTTGCGAATCGGACTTGAAGGGTGTGCAGGATAGCTGGCTCGTGAAGATGGACTAGGGTCGTCAAGTCTTCCACGCCATCGACGCGCTGGGCGAGGGGGTTGCACACATGGACGTGGGTGGCCACGTCGGTCGCGCCTCGAAGCGTAACTCTGTCGACTTCGTTTGGAGTCGTCAGCCGGCACGTGACAACGACGTTCTCTACTTCATATGCATCGACAACAGCTAGATGCCAACGGGTCCCATGGAGCACCCATACTTCTGTTCCGACTTCCATCAACGGTTGAGACGTCGGCGGCCTGGCCGTGTATGATGATGGTGTTGTGGCGTCGGGGTTACAGCCAAAATACCTCCTTCGAACTTCGTACCGTGTCGAAACGCCTTGGTCTGTGATTGGCCACCAAACGGTCATTCCCGCACCTAAACATTCATTTACGCACCTCCTGCTACGGTTTTTGAGCAGTAGCTGAATTCACGCTGTTTTGACTGAAGCACATGTTACTGAAAAATTGCATTGTAAATTCGTCTATACCATTTGTCTGATGGATCTTTCGAAGTGATAATATCAAAATGTAAATACTCCATTCGATGTGGTTTGTGTAGTCAGCTACTGGTTTAAAGACGTATTGCCCACGATCCAAGATCATATCCATAGTATACGGTACACTATTACTCCAATACATTGATAGAACATAGTACCAATAATCTGAGCTTGCTCTGTGGTGCATTATTACTTCAAGTATTACTCTAGTATTTCGAAGTATGGGGGTCGTTCTGCGAAACAACTTGCACACGAGAATTCTGTTTTTTTACGTTAGTCATGTGTATTACGCGAAAGGCAAAGCTACCTAACACTCTTAGATAATTCCGGTACATATTATATCTCGACATCAATTGGAATGTAAAATTAGGTGCGTGTTTAGGTGGCAAGAATCTGCAAGTCTCTACCGCCCTAAGCGTCTGAAGGCTCATGTTTGCTGGTACATAGCGGCACCTTCCTTTCGTTAACTGTTTGCACGTGAGCTCTATTGGCTCGGATAGACCAGAGCAAGGAAGGGACGCGTTGGAGAAGGATACAGCAGCGTCAAAGGGCCTGTAAACGTGTATTTTAGGTCTGCATCTCAAAACCGAAGTTCGAAGAATAAAAATAAAAAACGCGTTACATTTGAGTGGTTAAATTAAAGGAACCGTATGGGAAAGAATAAGATCTCATCGGTCCAGTAGATGGCGCAGAAGAGTGCGAACGCGGCGATGGCGCGCCAGACTTCGTAGACAACCCAGGCGTCCTGAAGGAGGGACGAGACATGTACGATCGCTCGCGCTACGGTCTTGGTATGTCGCAACCAAGCAGGTGTTTGGTGAAAGGTGAGTTGTAGCGACGATGGATGGTGTTGCATCAATAGCTTCATCGCGTCGTCCGGACCAAGGTCGGCAGTGTCGAGGTGGTTGATTTGGACTAAGACATCCCCGACACGTAGTCCTGGCTGCTGGGCGACAAGACCATGGCTGTGAATCCTTTGGATTTCCAACCCTCGAAGGAACAACGCATCTCTCGCCCACTCGACCCCCAGGGAACCTTCGCTCCATGCCATGACGACTTGGTCTGGTCCCGCTTGAGGTTGCCGCGAACCTACTTGAAACCGCAAAACGACAGGTCGTGGTGCATCGAGCACGCGCTGGAGGGCTTCTTCGTACGAGATGTCCGAGGTTAGAACCGCGCCGACTTGCATGAGCACGTCGCTGGGCTGAAGTTTCGCGAGTCCAGTGTTCGCCCCCATGTCACCCTCAAACGAATGCACCATGGGCACCATGGCACACGCCGTCTTGTACGGAGACCACGCAAACGTGGCCGTTTCCACGAGCACTTCAAACTGCGACGGCTGCAGGATGGACGACGTCCGCGGTCGCACGATGCGCGCGAGGCCGATGGTCACCATGTCCGACGAGAACGCAGGCACGGGGCCGGTCCATGGTGCAAAGAGGAGACGCACGGGCGGTGCCATGTCGAGCAGCAGCGCCGTGAGGTTGTCCTGGGGCCGGATGTTGTGGTTGTTGATCGCGATGAGCCGGTCGCCTTGATGGACGGCGTCGAGGCCGGCGACGTCGCTTAAGCTGGCGTGCACACGGCGGACCACGGGCGTCGAGAAGCTCACGTCAAAGGACAGACCGAGCACGCCGTCCGTCCACTCTAATACATACGTCGGGTCACGTTTGAGGTGAGGGGGGTTGACGACGAGTCGGAGCAGCAGGTCGTCGGCACTGTCGTCGCTGAGGCAGCTCTCGCGGGGCACGATACCACCACCACCAACATTGACGTCGTGTTCACTGTGCACTTCGGTCTCTGGTTCTTCATCTTCGGGGGACGACAGTTGTCCTGGATAGTCGTCTAGCACGAGTGGCGTGAATGGGGGGGGGGTGGTGATGTTGGTGATAGGCTGGATGTCTTCTCGAGGTTGCATCATGATGGCAAGGCGCCACGCAGCGACATCTGCTTGATGCTGACGAACGCGACGTTGGATCGCACGGGCGGCGGCGTGGCGGCGCTGCCACGCCACTTGCCTCTCGATTCTGGCCGTCCAAGTGACACGGAGCCGTCTAAATCCTTGTTGAATCATCCGGATGGCATCTGTTTGTCGACGGAGGTGCTGTCTGGCTGTCCACATGCGCACAACCGACTGCATGGCTACGGTGGCGCGCCGCTTGTTCCTAAACGACGAGCGAGCCAGGTGCGCTCTCGCATTGGCTTGCAAGACGGTGGCGGCATCATGGCGACACGTCACGACGGCGGCTTCCAGCGTTTGCAGTGCAAGATGCGTGAGAAACACAATGGTTCGGCCTCGAAGGATGTGGCTGGGGCCGCAAGCCGCGACCACGAACGCGTCCACAGCCGCCCCGTCGTCTTGTTTGTTAATGTCTGGGTGGTGCTTATGGGATCGAGCCTTCTTCCACCGGACTAGCGGGCCGTACGTTGTCACATACGACGCATGGGGCACGCGGACGGGAAACCCCGCGCGCGCAATGTGGGCGACAGACACGAGGCCGCAGCATCGCAGTTGGTGGAGGACCCGCTTCGCATCGAATGAGTGGGGGGTCATGGCGTCGTTGGGCTTGATGCACCGGACAAAGTGGAGATGGGAGGCATTGAGGGTCGCGAGGAGGGAGCTGAGCTGCATTTTGAACGTCAGCACCACCGTCGCCGCCATGATGTTGTTTGTGGTTAACGACACAGACGACCTCAACAACGACGACGGCGGCCGACTTCCAAGACTTGACCGCATGAACGAAGTCGACGGGGGTGGGGTGGACCACCGGCCGCCAGTGAAGCTGCGGCTATTGCTGCCACTGTTGTTGTTTGTCAAAGGGGTGTTGGACGACGAGGCAGACGGGGGGTCGTGGGGGTGCCAGTCGTCAAACAAATCTGCGACAAAGTCGATCGACGACGCGGTGAGGGCCACCAACGCTTCATGGGGCACCGAGTCCTTGTTCTTGGCGCAGAACCCTCGCGTGGAATACGTGACAGCGCCAGCGTAATGGACAATTGTAAACGCGCCGTGCGCTTGGTCCAGCTTGGACGCGGTGAAATGGCCGGCGTTGCTGCGCAGCGTCTCATACAACTTGGTGGCGAGGGTTCGGTCTGATCCCTTGGACAGCCGCGACTGTTCGTCCAGCAATGCAAACAACCCACACGGTCGCGCCTCGAGCAGGTCCAAGCATGCTTCATTCGTCGTGGGCCACTCCCCAAATGGCCACGTCACGCCCTCAGCTTCGTACGTACGTTGTTCCATCCCAAACACAAACCGGCCAAACAATTGCTGGAGCTTTTCGTTGGCATAGTTGATGCACAATTGCTCAAGCGAGTTGGACGTGTCGAAGCTCTCAAACCCGAAAATGTCGACAATGCCAATGTGGGTACTGCTAGTACTACTACTAGTAGTACTGGCTGGGGGGATGGTTTGATCGGAATAAGAGGGTAGAGCAGACATGGAAGCGTTGATCCGACACACCAAGTGCTCAAACACGCGGGCATAGATGGCCTTGGCGAGCATATCCCTAGCATGAATAGCTCGGTCTACGCTGACCAAGGTCACCACAGGTTCAAACCCAGCGATGATTTCGCGCGTGCACAGGGATGCTTCAAAGTCGTGGCTGCCGATGCCGAGCAACTTGCACACGAACGCAGCCGACGCACACCCGTCGGCGACACGGGACCCGTCCTGCCCCTTTTTCACAAACTTGACGTTGCCCAAATGCAAGACGGCCGCCACGAGCTGTAGCACGTGGGTCTGGTCCAGTGGCGTCAGCCCGACGGTGGCCATGGCGTGCAGCGTGCGCTGGTATTGTGCCACGTCATCGACGCCGTCAGTCCGCGTGTCACATCCACTTTGATGGAGGTAATGGAACGAGTGGACTGGAGCGTCGTCCAGGTGAAACGCGGCGCGGTGCGCGGCCGACGCCCCACGGACGAGTTCGTAGAAGATGTGAAAGTTGCGCTCGCCTTTGGCTTGCGAGATGAGCCGGACACGTTCGAGGAGGTACGTTGAGATGGACGCGCCAGACATGGCGCCGGAGATCGGATGGAAGCCAAGTCGAATGAACTTGCCGAACCGACTGCTGTTGTTGTTGCGCGTGGTCTTGGCATTCCCAAACGCTTCGAGAATCGGATTGGATTCCAGCACGCGATGCCGAATGACCGAGTTGTCCTGTGCGCTAGTGTCGGCGGCGGCTGGCGTGGAGATGGACGCGAGGTAGGTCAGGAGGATCTTGGTTGTCTCGGTCTTTCCGGCCCCCGACTCGCCACTCACAAGGATGTTGTGGGGTTCTTCGTGCGCTCGCATGGCTCGATACGCTCGCTCAGCCACTTCGTACACATGTGGCGGCAACGGCAATGACGGTGGCGATGCGTACGTGGCTTGGACGGCGGAAGAATACAGGTGCGGCAGCGGGTGGCAAGGATTCACGGCCACGAGAATGGAACCTGTGCGGGTATATACGAGATTGCTGGCATAGCGCAGGGCGAGAGCGTGCAGAATGGCAGGTTCATGCAAATGCACCAACGACGCCAGGTCGTCCACGACCGCATCGTTTGCGTCGTCGGGGTGGTGGCAAGGGTAGACAGCCGACGGTTCGGCATCGACGATGACCGCCATGTCGTTCGATTCGACTGAGCACTGGATACACGAATCCTTGACGTGAAGCACTTGGCCCTCGAGCCACGTTCCTTCAAGGTACACCCATACATGCGCTCCGACCTGCATGACCACGCGCTACGCACAAGTCGGCAGCGGCAGAGTGAGCGAGTTTGCTGTTGTCACACGGCATCTGCGATTTTGAAAACAATTACTATAGGGGGGCCCCATCGAAACAAACCCTGAAATGGAGTGGGGGGGTCTACAATATCCGGATACCAGTGACCAAGATACAAGTTACACACGAAAGGACACGTGACAGAGAAAGGGGCAAGTTGAAGTACTATTCGTAACATTCGTGATGCAGACGCCATCAATCGAGCTTGTCTAGCTCAGTAACTCGAGTACGTACTACATGTAATCACCGTCAACAGTACACACACACGATAACCATACTCTACAGTACCCATAACGTTATGTCTATATTCAGTCTCATCTAATGCCGGTCATTGGCAGTTTAGGTCGCTTCCGTTTTTGAAATGTGAGAATCACCGGCTTTGGCCCGTGTCGCAGTTGATGGAGAAGCTCCGAGTACGCCAGTTCCCGCACGCTTTGATGGTTTACTTTGACGAGTTTGTCACCTCGGGACACTCTGATGTCGCCCAGCATCTGCCGCTTCGTCAACACGTTCGTGCCTGGCTGGTTGACCCGCACAACCTTGGGGTACAGACCCGTGGGGGTCTGCGACAGCGCTAGTCCCAGCTTCCCGGCGTCCCACACCACATGATACAAAAACGATCCGTCCAGCAAGGTCAATGTGGACGTCTCGTACGTGTCCACTACGGATTCGAACGTGAGCACGAGCGGCCTCGCGGCGTCCTTAAGCAGGCCCAGCGCTATGCTAAACTCCACGCGGCGGATGTCGAGTCCGTTAAGCGCGATCAAGACGTCTCCTTCGTGGAGGTTGATCATGCCGGGGTTGTCGTAGTGGCTGATCTGGCCCACTTGCGGCACTTTGAGCGTCGGGTGCATGCGAAGGGTCACGCCCAGCGTCATACTTGCCAGCCACAGCACTTCCACGGCCTTTGCGTTGGACGAGACCGACGGCGGAGTGGCTCCGGATGATCGAGTTCGAGGTTTGTCGAACCGAAACGTTGTGAGCAACGGCACGGGCGGGAGAAAGTGCAAAGTGCCGTGGGGGCCCTGCAAGTCCAGCGTCGACTGGACAAGCGGGGGCTGATTGTTAATTGCGACAAGGATATCTCCTCTCTCGATCGATTGAATGTCCACGCACTGGCTGAGCGTCGGGTGAACGCTGTGCACGACAAACAACCCATCGTCGTCGCGGCGCTCAAAGCACACGCCGAGCTGGTGGCTACGTTCCACAGCCACTTCGTAAGCAACGGCGGCATTGGCCGACGAACTTTGCCGCCCATTTCGCCCCATCCATCCGTAGTCGCTGTCACCAACTACAATGCCATCATCCTCAGACTCATCTTCGTCACTGAACTCGTCCATGTGAACTGTCCTCCTTCCCCCTGTGTCTGGCGAGTTTTGCATCTCAAACTGCTTCGAGTACTCCAATACACTTGTGAGCTCCGACACGACGGGCCGCATGGCGCGATGCACGCGTCTATGGTTGACCACCCGTCGGGCAATGTGCATCCGCAGCACCGTCTGGATGCGGACGGCGGCGACGTGCCATATCCGGATGCGGACGAGGTACCCCCTCACGACCTTTTGCACGAGCACCATCGCGTGCCGGAGCTGGACGAACGCCCGTCGAATCCGGACCATCCGGAACGTCGATTGGATGGTCAGGATGGCGGCGCGGCACCGCCGGTACTGCACCCGCGCGAGCCACCCGCGAATCATCCGCTGCATGTCGAGCACTCGGTCCCCAAACAGCGACTCCCGGATCGAATTGAGTTGTTCGTACACGGACAACACCATAAACACCTTGGTAAGTCCCAGTTGGAACGACGGCCGGCCAGGTTCTGTTGCGAGGACGACTGGCGGCTGGACTGGCTGCATGAACGCGCCGGTTTCCAAGGCCTGGATGATCTCGTGCGCCGTGGCGCGGAGGTTATCTGTCGGGGGCAGCCGGACGCCAGGACACAGACATATGTACGAGTGGACGAACGCCGCATGCGAGAACCGAAGGGGGTACCCCGTGCGGGAGATCTTGGCGGCTTCGAGCACCCCCGAGCACCGGAGTTGCTCGGCAACGCGGGGCTCGTCAAACACGTCGGGGCTCATCATGTCGTTGGGTTTCACGCACCGAATGAAGTGGGGCTTCGTCGTGTGCAGCAACGCCAAGAGGTTGGCGAGTTGCGATTTGAATTTGTGCACAACCGTGGTGGCTTGGGGGGGTTTTGACGACGACGGCGCTGGTCGGGAGGTGACGCCAAACACTGATCGATACAAGTCGATACACGACGACGCGAGGAACCCCAGTGCGTGGGCCTGTGCGTGGTCTTTGTTTTTATCGCAAAAGCCGTCGCCAACGTAGGTGACGGCGCCAGCATAATGCACGATTTGAAACTGCAAGATCTTCTTTTGCAGCTGCGATACGGTAAAGTGGGCATGATCACTGAACGCAGTATAGAAACTCTGAATCAAGTGCGCGTCGTTGCCCGTGGGAAGCCGCGACTCTTCGTCCAACAATGGCAGCAGGCCCCACGGACGCGATTCAAACAGTGTCACACACAGGTCGTTGTTGGGGTACGACATGAACGACCACTCGATGGCTTCTTGGACGTACTCGCGTTGCTCCATGTCAAACACAAACGACGCAAACAGTTGCTGGAGCTTTTCATTCGCATAGTTGATGCACAGCTGTTCCAGCGAGTTGGTCGCAAAGATTTCAAACCCAAAAATGTCCACAATGCCAATGAACCGGTCGGTGGTGTCCCGGGGCGCGTACTCGATGGATGTGTTGATGCGCGCCACGAGCCAATCAAACAGCTCCGCGTACAGCGTCTTGGCCACGCCGTCGCGGGTCACGATGGCCTTGTCTGGGCTTAGGAGCACTGTAACTTGGTCTCCGCCGGCGAGAATCGCCTTGGTCGTCAGACTTTGTGCCAGAGTTGGTTGGTCGACTCCCAGCAGCCGACTCGCCATGGCCAGAGCAGTGCTCGAGGCAGCCGACACGACACTTCCCCCGCCGTCGCCGGCGTCAAAGTCGACGTTGCCGAGGTGCAAAATGGCGGCGACGAGCTGCAACACATCCCTTTGCTCGTCGTCGTCCATGCCCAACGTCGCCATGGCGTGCACGGTGTCGCGGTAGCTGGCGGCGTCCTCGACCCCGTCTTGTCGACACATGCAGCCCGACTGGTTCAGGTAACGAAATGATTCTGGTGCGGCGAGGCCATACGTGGCAGCCTCATCGGCCGTCGCGCCGGCCAGAAGTTCGTAAAATATGTGGTAGTTGCGCTCGCCAGGTCCTTGCGACACGAGCCGGACACGCTCCAGGAGGTACGTGAGGATGGACGCCCCCAAGAGAGACCCGTCGGGCTCAAACCCGAGTCGAATGAACTTGCCGAACCGACTGCTGTTGTTGTTGCGCATCGTCTTGGCATTGCCAAACGCTTCGAGAATCGGATTCGAGTCGAGCACGCGACGGCGGATGCGATCCTGTGCGTGTCCGTCGTGGGCCGTGGCCATGGACGATACCGACCCAAGGTAATGCATGATAATCTTGGCCGTCTCTGTCTTACCGGCGCCGCTCTCCCCGCTCACGAGGATGCTTTGGTTCGACGATACCATGGGTGCGTCATCGGGCTCTGCGGCATGGAACACCGCCGACGGTTTGGGCCGAACCCACATGTCCCGGTTCATGTCACGGAACGCCGTGTCGGCCACGGCATATGCATGCGGAGGAACCTTTGGAACATTCTTTTCTCCCATCATGACAAGGTTGCCATGCTCGATGTACGCGTCCTTCACGGCGTCAGTGTAGAGGTGATCAAGGGGACGGAGCGGGTTGATGGCCAGCAAGATGGCGCCAGCACTGGTGTAGATGAAGTTCTGCGTGAATCGAGCTTGGAGAGCCTTGAGGATCGTGACCTCATCCAACGTCACGAGGAGGGTGAGGTCCTCCACGGTCGTTGTCGACTTGGACCTGGTTGGCATATTGTAATGACGAGGAGTCGAAATCTCTCACATACAAAGATCAAGGTACTTTCTATCTAGGGATATTCGACAACGTAGCCCTAAATGGAACCATCGATTGCCCAAACTATCGAGCCTGATTGGCCCTCAACCAAATCCGACATTTTGATTGGTGGTTCAGGAATGTTGTGGGATTGTAAATGATGAGATTTTGACCAAAGGTTGTCCATATTCCTGGCATTGCCGCATACTATACGTAACGTGCACACGAGATTGAAGGAATCGGACTCCAGGAACAGTAAGCCTCCACTGATTAGCTCATGATGTCCCACAGCTTAGGCGACCTGCTCGCGTAATCGACCGCGGGGGCTCCCCTGTCATAACGGTTAGAGTACAATAACAACACAATGTAATGTTGTCTTGGAGCAGCGTTTCGTTCGAGTGTACTCGCCGACCCAGTGAGCAAACGGGCATCATCGTGGATATGGATGGCCCTTGTAAGTCGTCAATGTTGTGGCAGACGGTGGCAACGAAGTTCCCATGCATGCATCTTCAAAATGAATTTCGCAGGCAAACTCTAACGTTACTTACTTACGAAGTACTACTATTAATAGTATGTATTACTGTACTGTATAGTAATTTGTGATAACCACATTATTAATACTTGTATCATCGTAGCCGGACAATCAGTAGGTAGTACTCACCTGCTACGATCTCATACACTTGGCAATGGACGATGCGATCAAGTATGAAGAGGAGTGTATTGTACAGCAATCATTGTCAAGGCTACAGGACCAGTATAGTAATAGCTAGTGGGCCGCACGAGATGAACTGGAGGCGCAAGCTTTCGTGTCTGTTACAGTTGTTCAATTACAGGCTATCGTCACATCGTTTGTCAGTGAGTACACGTGTAGAGCCTTTACTGTAATAGACTGCTCACACGACAGCGGTGATTTGGGTGCTTTCAATTCTGATTGGTTATAATTCAATCGTTCATATGTTTTGCCTCAATACAAACAAGTAAAAGTACACTACTTCGTCGTAGAACACGCCTCGTCCAGGTAGCGGCACGGCCTACGGCCTACCTGCCGAGGAATCGATTGGACATTCGGTGAAGTGCACGATTGGGGCTCACTCCTCGCCAAGGCACTGCCCTGCACAAAATTATACGCACGACCTCCGCTACGCTGCGGTGCGCGCAATTTGTGGGCGGATGCTCTGTCGTCGCTCGCTACTATAAGGCTTGGTCAATGTGGAAAAAAGAAAAGAAAAAGATGTTGTGAATTCACTATAAACTTCCAAAATTCGCGTGGTTTGTCGACTCACTATTGAATCACGCCGGAGTTCTGAATGGTTGAATCCACTCAAAAATGGATTAGCCAATAGCGTCGATTCGAGATTCGATTCGGCGGCGAGATTCGATTCGGCGGTGAGATTCGATTCGACGGGGACTGGAAATTCGTATCGAATCCACAATATTAATACTACCTCCGGCCGGAAATAAACCAGCCATTTGGTGAAAATTGATAAAATTGGTGTTTTGTTTGATGGTGTTATCTGTTTTTGCCCTAAGTATGCTTGTTGTTGGAATATAATACCTTAACGATGAATACGCTAATGGATAAATGGGGTTCTACTCTATGAGTGTTGGTGGCTTACATGCATTCTACCTGCATCAACCAATAGTCAGCAACAATTTTAACTACGTTTTGTACAGAATATTAATTACTGCAAGTGTATACTATAATCAGTATCAAATCGTGACAGATATCCGGATACACATCTTTTGTCTCTATAATATAATTTATTCTGGGGTAAATTCTGCAAAAACCTTCAACAATGAAATGACTGGTATATTTCCGGCCGGAGGTATTGGAGATTCGGTATGAATTTCCGGACCCCGTTCAATCGAATCTCGCCGAGCGAATCGAGCACCAATCTCTCCCATTGGTCAATCCGAAATTACTTGTCGATGATTGGCTACAATCTATTTTCGAGTGAAAGGGCGAAGTAGATAATGGCCAATCAGATGTCTCGGCTCTATTTGTGCTCGATTGAACGAACCATGCAAAATTGGGAAATTTGAAGAAAATCGACAATGCTACCTGGTACTGGTAGTATTATTGAAACCGGGGCCTTTGAGACCCTATACGCTTCCCACTAGCCAACAATTACTACTATGAAAAAGACAAATGTGTTGTATACAGGTCAGATATATTTCTGAGAAAATTTGAATTATATCTAATCATCTTCGACCATACTGTACCCATATCACCCATCGCGTGAGCAGTCATTAATCTCACACTTATTAAAGACATTTTTCGATGAGTTTAGTTTTGGCGTGTGATTGGTTGAATTTTGCTGTTGTCAGATTGTGAAAATACCCTACCGGTACAAGCAAACCAACATAATACGTAGTACTTCAAAAATACTATTAATATTATAGTACTACTAGTACGTACTACTGTAGTAGTTCGTAGAACTGCAGCCAGCGTCTGTAGAACAATACTACGGCAGTATCACGTAATCGCTTGATCCAACTAACTTTAAGCACCCGTAATGCAGCGCTGCGCATCGTTATACTCCTTGTCCTTCATGGCCATTGCAGATTGCAACAGCCGTTTAGATTCACAGTCAAGTTAAAATACTACGTAGTAATTCGCACCCCGGGGTGCCAATTTCCTCTCAATGCACGATGCGATTTACAGTGTGGTGTGTGTGAAACTTGTACAACCAACTTTTAAAGTGCACATTATTAGTATCAATAGGAACAACACGCAACTTTCTCGTAACAGTAGAAAGTACTTGATCGACCGACGTACTATACTATACGAATAGTACCTGAAAACTACAAAAAACCGACCAATAATTCGTATATATTTCGAGTTTGCACATGGGCGCCCTGGTATCGGGTCGCCGTTTTCCTCCCTATGACATTCATTACACATTTGGCAGCCGATTGATCAGAGCAGGTGTAGTTAGTCGATCGATCTCATGTCACCTGCAGTCGAAAACGTCAATGACTTGACGGCGCTGGTACATCTCGACGAAGAGTCCATTCAGAGGACACTGGAGCTGCGGTTCCAGGAAAACCAGATCTACACAACCACGGGGTCCATCCTCGTCGCGTTGAACCCGTTCGAGCGATTGCCGCTGTACGCTTCAGCGACCAAGGACGCGTACATTGCTCATGGCGATCGAGTCGCCGCGGGCGAAAAGCTGGGCAAGATGCCACCGCACGTGTACACGGTCGCGGACAAATCGTACCGGGACATGCGAACGTCCAGCCGGCCGACCTCGGCCGACGACGCGCTGCCAAACCAAAGCATCCTCGTGAGCGGTGAGTCGGGCGCGGGCAAGACGGAGACGACCAAGATCGTTATGGAGTACTTGGCGTCCGTGTCGGCAGAGGCCACGCACGACACGTCCGTGGACCACGACGCGGTGCGGAATCGCGTGCTCGAGTCGAACCCGATTCTGGAAGCGTTTGGGAACGCCCGGACGAACCGCAACAACAACAGCAGTCGGTTCGGCAAGTTTATCCGGCTCGGATTCAACACGTCGGGCGTGCTGCTGGGCGCGTCCATGTCAACCTACCTCCTCGAGCGCGTCCGGCTCGTGTCGCAGGCCAAAGGCGAGCGCAACTACCACATCTTTTACGAACTGGTGCGTGGGGGCGCGCCGGACCTTGTCGCAGATTTAGGGCTCACCGCGTTGGCCGATTTCAAGTACTTGAACCAAAGCGGGTGCTATGACCGGCATGATGGCGTGGACGACGCCGACCAGTTCACAAAGACCACCCATGCCATGACTACGATCGGTATGAGCGACGACGAGCAGACGGCGGTTATGCACCTCGTGGCGGCCGTGCTTCACTTGGGAAATTTGAAGTTTGAAGCTGTGCCAGGCCACGAAAACAACGCGAGTCGCCTTGTGGGGGGATCACCCGCCACCACTCATTTGTGCAACCTCCTCGGCGTAACCATTGACAGCCTAGAGAAGAGCTTGTGCACGAGGGCAATCAAGACTGGCCGGGAGACGGTGACGGCGTCCCTAGACGTCAAGAAGGCGGACGATTGCAAGGAAGTGCTGGCAAAGACGATCTACGGTCGGCTGTTTGAGTGGCTCGTGGACCGCATCAATGACTCGATGAACTACGAAGACACGAGCGTGCCCGATGTGGACCCGACGCTTCGGTTCATTGGCATTGTCGACATCTTTGGGTTTGAGATCTTCCCCGTCAACAGCCTCGAGCAGCTGTGCATCAACTTTGCCAACGAAAAACTCCAGCAACTGTTTACCAAGTACGTGTTTGAGATGGAGCAAGACGAGTACAAGGCCGAGCAGATTCCATGGACAGATATTGCCTTCCCCACCAACCAACTCGTCCTCAACCTGTTTGAGTCTCGCAACGGTCTATTCAAACTGCTGGACCAGCAGTGTATCTTAGCTACGGGCACGGACGCCGCCCTCGTTCGGTCATACTATAATGCATTTGCCATCCACCCGAGCTTCACGGCTACGAAACTCCAGCAAGGTCGGCACCTCTTTAGCGTACTGCACTACGCGGCGCCGGTAGTGTACACTGTGGACGGATTCTGCGATAAGAACAAGGATCACATCCACGACGAAGCGATTCAGCTGCTCTCGAGCTCGGCGGATACGTTTGTGAACGGTATATTTCAAGACTACTTTATGCTGCAGGTGGTGGAGGACACACCCTCGGCGGTGAATCCGAACCGTCCGCGGCGGTCGTCGGGCATCATGAGCTCGTCCGTGGTGATGAAATTCCAGCGCCAGATGGGCAACATGCTCGAGGTGTTGCAGGCCACGTCTTTGCACTTTATCCGGTGCATCAAACCAAACGACGAGCTCACGCCCCTCGCGTACGACCACCCGCGCGTTCTAGAGCAACTGCGCTGCAGCGGCGTCGTCCAAGCCGCCCAGATTTCCCGCACGGGGTACCCGATCCGATTTCCCCACGCCTCGTTTCAGTGGCGGTACCGCGTGCTGTGTCCCATGAAGCTGCCGCCCACGATGATGGTGCCGTTCTTGGTCAACACGTTCCACCTCGTCGACCCAGCCGACCCCCGCCCCCCCATCCAAGTCGGATTGTCCAAGGTCTTTCTTGTGTTTTCCGCCTACGAGACCCTCAACCGCGAGTCCGACCGGCGGCTGGCGCGGTCCGTCGTCACGATTCAAAAGATGGCGCGGGGCACGCTGGTCCGGCGTTGGGTCAAGCGCGAAACGGCGCGGGTTGTGGTCGTCCAGTCGCTTATTCGGCGGTTCCTCGCCAAGAAAATGCTCCTGCGGCTGCGGGCCGCCGAGCGCCGCCGCCAACAGGAACAGGCTGAAGAACTCGTTCGCCAGAAACTTGCTCAAGAAAAACAAGCCCAAATCGAACGGGATCTTCAAGCGGCAGCTACTGCTACTGCAGCGTTATTAGTGGCCAAGCAACGGGAAGCAGACGCGCTCGCAGCCAAGCAGAAACAAGACGACGACGAGAAAGAAGAACGCGCTCAGGCAAGTGCTGCCGCCGCCGCCGCCATGGCCATCCCTTCGAAAGAGGACGAGCCGTCGGCATCGCCGCCAGTTGTCCCCGTGGTGGCCACAAATCCACCTTCGGGTCGTGGTCGATCATCGTATTTCAACCCGCAGATCTCGTTCGAACAGTTTGACGACGACGAAGAAGAGTACGAGGTCAAGTGGGAGCAAGGGATGCTGGGGCTGTACTTTGGCAAGGACGACGTGAGTGGCCTTCCCGTCGTGCGCCGCATCCACGTGCACCTGAGCCAGTGCCGCGATATCCGCAACGTTCGCGTACACGACCTGCTGCTCCAAGTGGGAGCCAAGCGGCTGGGGGGGCATGAAACGCTGCGGCAGACGCTCGAGTACCTCGGCAGCATCCCCAAACCAGTGGTGATGGTGTTCCAGCGCAACGGCCACGAAACCGCACACGAGTTGGCCGACAACGAGTTTGAAGTGCTCTGGGGCAAGAACGAACCGCTCAAAGTGAGTTTTCGCATGTCTATGGACCACCAGATGCCGTTCGTGAGCAACGTGCTGAGCCAGGTTTTCGTCCCCACTGCTCAAGTACGCAGTGGCGACCTCCTCACGCACATCAACGACAAACCCACCCTCCAAAAGTCGCAGGTCGAAGTGAACCGCATGCTCACCCAAGAGCCCAAGCCCTGTGTGCTGCGCTTTCGCCGCCTCGAGCCTGGTTCGGAACCCGTACCCCGCAGCCACCGCACTAGTTATACTGACTATTCGTCCACTAAGAGTTTAGCGGAAACCATGAGCTTTGCAGGCAGCGTGGGCAGCAGCAGCAGTTTCCGCGGCAGCAACGTGTCCGTGATGACAGTGCCGACCCAGTACTCTATTACGTGGCAAGCTGACGACGGTCCGTTGGGGCTGGTGATTGCGCCCCGCCTGGAAAACTACATTGAGGTGGTGCAAGTCAAGGACGAAGGCGCGGCGTACGCGGCTCGGCAGCGCCACCAAGTGTCCAAGGGGGACCTGATGCTGTACGTCAACCACGACGATATCCGCGACCTCGGGTTCCAGCGGGCGATGCATATCCTCAAGACCGCGCCAAAGCCCCTCGTGCTCACGTTCCAGAAGGGTTCGTCGCAGCCGCCGCCACCGTCGACCAACACCACTGGCTACAGTGTGCATCGAGCCAGCGCATCACATTAATTCACCATGTAATTTATACCGGCCTTGACTTTGCACTTGGTTGAACGTAGTAACGTTAGTACGTGTTTGATGGATCAGTAAGTGTTGTTTCTACCCTCGTTGTTGAGCACATTCCACTCCAGGCAAATATGAAATGCAATATTAATAGATTTGAAGCAATATATACTATTACTTCGAAGTACTTCAAGTAATACTATTATTAATAATTCAAGTATACGGAGTACTACTATTAATAGTTTGTACTACTGTTCTTTTACTCAAAATTTGGACTTTTGTGCTGATTCGCCAAATCTATCGATGTTAATACTATGTATTGTTGTGTTTTTTTTACTCCGGAGTAATATGGGTGATTATGATCACTTTGCGGACAATTTCAGTCGGACATACTTGGCATTTGTATTGGACTTAAGGGGAACATATTTTGTCCGAATGAAAGTGTCCGAACGGAATATGCTCGGACATACTTGTGTATTGTATACACCCGCATAAGAACGATCAGCTTTTCAGTAGCGAGCGACGACAGAGCATCCGCCCACAAAATTGTGCGCACCGCAGCGTAGCGGAGGTCGTGAGTATAATTTTGTGCAGGCGGTGCCTTGGCGAGGAGTGAGCCCCAATCGTGCACTTCACCGAATGTCCAATCGATTCCTCTTGTCGGGAAAAGCGGCAGGTAGGCCGCAGGCCGTGCCGCTACCCGGACAAGGCCTGTGGTACAACTATTCGCATTTAATGCGTAAATTCGGTTAAGTGCGTGTCCGAAGCACATATCAAGCAAATATTTGTCCGAGTCGTTATGGTATGGAAGGCGATGTGGTTAATAATGTTGCACAGTTCCTAGATACAGTATTTCAACGAATCAAAACCGTCTAACGTTATTCTTACGAACAGATCATCATGGCAAATCCTGTCGGCCAAGTGTGGGGTAACGACCACCTGGTCGGCGAGCTCTTGCCGTTCTTAGATGCGACTTCCCTTGGAAGGGCCGAGTGCGTGTGTGTCGCATGGCGCCGTCTATCGACCGACTTGGCGCTGTGGTCGCGGCTGTGCCTAGCCACGCCTCGGTGTGTTGTCGGACCCGCGTCTCAAGGCCTCCATGACAGCGTTGGATCCAAGCGGTACATTCAGCTCGTGATGTCGCGGCGACGGCACCACCTTTTGCGTCGGCATGACTTGAGGGCGTTGGTCGATTCCGATCTATGGACACGGTCAGGTGACACACCTGTTTGTTTCTGTCATGACGCTGGTAACGTTAATGTCGTAGCCTCGTTGCCGACGACAAGTGGCTGGTCCGACTCCACATAGCATTTGCGATGGACACTGTCCTTCCGCACATGGAAGGATCGGACGCGGCGCATGTGTTGGGGGCGTTTTCAGAGGTGTTGGACGACGCATTTGGAGAGTTTGGGGTCGCGCGGGAACTCCTCCTCTTGGCGCTGGTATGTGATGAGGCTGCATGGATCACACATCACTTGGCGCTCTTGGCAGAGAAGCAGCAAGACTACGATCAAGTAACGTTACTACTATATATATATAGATACAATATGCAACGATGTCACAGGCGTTGAACACTATATCTCAATCAGGCAGAACATTGGTTTCAACGAGGCTACGACCTCGACCACACGTACGTTCCCAATGCGCTCAATTTTGCAGTGTTCATGGAGGAACGGCGCCTGCGATACGATGAGGCGGAAGAGCTGTACGCCCATGCCTTGCAGCATGCCGCAACCCCACGTCACAGCCTCGATGTGTACTTTGCAATGGCGGACTTTTACTTGTTGAAGCGGCGGGATATCCCTCGCACACACGCCGTCCTCGCTCAGGTAAAACGAATATGCGATAACGTTGTAGTTTCCATCCTGTCCGAACTCGAAACCACTGGATTCTCTCGTAGGCTTATCACTCCCTCAAAGCCATAACCAATGTGGATGCTGTTTGTGGCCGCGATGTCCAAGTGGCGATCCAGTACGCCGAGTTCCTCGTGTATGTTTGTCATGACTTTCCGACCGCCGCAACAGTCTTCAAGGTTCTACTGCAACGGTGGACGTTCGAACAGTCGCGAAAGGGCAAAGTGCAGTCAGACGTGGCAACATTTCTGCAAATTGGACTCTTGAGCTACGGTATATATGTATATATATACCTAATAGTGTCTATAATATCAACGTCCATTCGATATGTAGCAATCTGTGTCGTGTTTTCGACCAGCAACCGAGTTATGGCCCTTCGACTGGTGGACCAAGCTGCTGCTGTTGAGCAGTGTGTTGCCAATCTCCTTCCAGACCTTGTTCAGACAACTGCACAAAGGGTCGTGAAAAGATACAAGCTTACGGCGGCGGCGGTCGTTCAGCATACGCCGGATCTGTGCAGACCCGTGACCTGCAAGCAGGACTTCGACAGCCTCGCGCCTCTCATGGGACTGCTGTATTACCTCAATGGAGACACGGACGCCGCCATGGCGCTGTGGGCGGCTTATATCCGTAGACTGGCCAACATTCATAGCCCCGAGTACGCTTTTGCTGGGTGTGTACATTCCAACTTGGTGTACTCGTAGCGCATAAGTGTTGTAGGTACTGCACGGGGATGGTGCTGCATGTTGCCGACAGGCGACCCGCGGCGGCCAAGGCCATCAAGAAAGCGTTCACCGTGGACGCCCATAACCTGCAGTACCAGAATGTCGACCTCGTCTTAAGGGAAGCCGCGCATCCTCCGTCGAACGTCGTGTCGACGGAACATGGGGATCGCCGCCGCCTTCGAGCGCTGACGTGTCGTGACGTTCTCATGTCGTACTACCTCGCGCACCAGCTCGAGACGCCACCTCCCACAACGTCAAATAGTGGGCTGCGACGAGGAGGAGTATGAGATGAAGCAAGATCCCCCCCCAATCTCCGCAACAGTCGACCAGGTTGAGATGGCGATCTAATCGTGCAACCTTTCGGTCTGATTTTAATGTACATGCCAGTGTAATTCTGAGCATCCGCCTTCAAATAGGCAATGAGCGCCTATTTAGGACGGTTTACTTAGTGGAGCTTCTGAATTGCAGACGAATTCTACGGATTCCTGGCCTTAGTAAAAAGTTACACATGCCACGTGACGCGAAAGTATTAATTGACACGGGTTTGGACCGGTACACCCCATTTTATTGGCCGACGGGCTACCAAATCATTCATTGTCGGAGGTTTGTTTGCGGTCATTGACGGCGGGGTGGAGAAACTGAACATCACCGCGTTACACGCAAGTGGACGAGTGGTTGCATGCGGCAACAAGAGATGATGGAGGAAGGAGCGCCCGTGTGGGTCATGCACGCGGCGCGATGGAATGTCGCCGTGATACAGTCCATTTCGCAACATGGAACGATCAGTTGTTGCCTCGTCGACACCCCAGCGCTTGTTGAAGTGGACGCGACTGCCAGAAAGGACAATATCCATCCATGCAACCCCGTCGAGCAACACCGCAGCGGCGTCGACGACCTCACGACGCTGGTACATTTGCACGAACCCGCCATTCTCAACGCTCTTCGAGTTCGGTACCGCAACGATCAGATCTACACACGCGCTGGAACAATCTTAGTCGCCGTGAATCCGTTCCAGTCGCTGGACCTGTACGATGACGCTACCCAGCGACGGTACATACATGCTGGACGTACACGTCGCGACGGAGACAGTGTACTTGCACCCCACGTCTTTCAAGTTGCGGACAGAGCCTACCACGAGATGCTCTCGACACGGCACAACCAAAGCATCTTGGTGAGCGGAGAAAGTGGCGCTGGCAAGACAGAAACCACCAAGCTCATCATGACGTACTTAGCGTCCGTGTCTTCGTCTCGTGCTGACAACGCCGTGCGCGACCGCATCTTGGAATCGACGCCCATCTTAGAAGCGTTTGGGAACGCCATGACGACGCGGAACAGCAACAGCAGTCGCTTTGGCAAGTTCATTCGGTTGGGATTTGACGCAGCGTCGGGCGAGTTGGTCGGCGCGTCCATCGCCACGTACTTGCTGGAACGCGTGCGGCTGATTTCTCACGGCGTGGGGGAGCGCAACTACCACATTTTTTACGAGCTGTGCGCGTCCCCCGCATCCAAGTCGCTTTTGGGGCTGGACCGGTCATTTGCCTACCTCGAATCGTCCATCATGGGCCATCGAAGCCGTCGCGATGGCGTCGACGACGCAGCGCAGTTTGAAGTCACGCACCACGCCATGACCACGATTGGGCTGTCCAATCACAACATTGCGTCCGTGTTGCAGGTAGTGGCGGCCGTGCTGCATCTCGGCAACTTGGAGTTTGTTCCTGTCCAGGGGGGTACGAGTTGTCGCTTGAGCTACGACGACGACACGACCCGGTTCTGCTCGTCCTTGTTGGGCATTGCGTACGACCACATGCAAGAAGCGCTGACCACCCGTCGCATCAAAGCTGGGGGGGACGTTGTGACTGTGGGCCTGTCGCCCGACGCCGCCGCGCACTCTCGCGACGTTGTGGCCAAGTCCATGTACGCGCGGTTGTTTGAATGGCTCGTGGGTCGGATCAACGCCGCGACTTCAAGTCCAACCACGTCGACATTGCACTTGATTGGCGTCGTGGATATTTTCGGGTTTGAAAGCTTTGCCACCAACTCGCTCGAGCAGCTGTGCATCAATTACGCCAACGAAAAGCTGCAGCAATTGTTTACCAAGTACGTGTTTGAGCTCGAGCAACGCGAATACGTGGCCGAGGGCATTCCGTGGACGATGGTGGCGTACCCCAACAACGACGTGTGCGTGACACTGTTCGAGTCGCGGCCCCATGGCCTGTTTAGCCTCTTGGACGAACAATGCATGATTCCTCGGGGAAACGACAAGCAACTGCTGGCGACCATGCACGGAAAACTGTCGTCTCCGTTCACAAGCTCCCGCGCCCAGCTGGGCAAAGGACAGTTCACCGTGTGCCATTACGCCGGTCCAGTCGTATACTCTACCGACGGATTCTGCGACAAGAACAAGGACAACGTGCACCCCGAAGCGCTCGAGTTTCTGAATCTGTCGTCCCATGACCTCTTGCACACAACAAAGGAGCCGCCGCCGCCGCCCCATCATCATCACGTTCGCCATCCAAGTTCGAGGCGGGTATCTGCCAAAGAAAGAGCCAGCACGTCATGCATCCAGAAATTTCAAGGACAGCTCAAGGCGCTGCTGGGGGAACTGGACACGTCCGCGCTGCACTTTATCCGGTGCATCAAGCCCAACGACCTTGGACAGCCGCACGTTGTGGACGACGCGCGGTTCTTGGATCAATTGCGATGCAGTGGGTTGTTGGAAGTCACCGAGCTCACACGTCTGCGTCACCCTGTTCGCATGCCCCACTCCCTTTTTTTGCAACAGTTCCGGTGCCTCTTTACTAGCACCGATCGCAACGATGTGGCCCGAATGCTTCGCCACTGGGGGGTTGCTAGCCCCGTCGTGGGGGTCTCCAAGGTGTACTTTGACCATGCGCTCTTGACCCACCTCCTCCAAGCGCGTGAACTCCGCGTGCGCGTAGCCGTCCGCACCCTGCATCGGTTTGCCGCTGCGCTAGCCCACCGCCGCCAAACCCTCCGCCGCCTCCGCCTCCAAGCGGCGACTCGTACCGTATGTCGAGCCATGTTGGACACTATCCACCGCCGCCGAACGGTTCGAGTCGTGCAAGCGGCCCATGCCCAACGTGTGATTGCATGGGCGTGGAAATGCTACCGCCATGCGATGCACCACAAGCGCTACATGGAGGCAGCCGAACACACTGCGCGGCAAGAGCAACGCGTTATGGTGGCGTGCCAAGCCTTGCAAACGTGGGTGCGTCGATGCCAACTACGCCAAGCCTTGGTGCGCCACGCCCGACAGCTTACGACAGCCACCACCGCCACCGCCGTGCTGTCGTCCACCCGTCCCAGCGACTACCTCCGCGACTTCGGCACCCCTCCTCGCCATCCCCTTCCGTACGTAAATACGTTGGTCTCAACGAAACACAGCATCACGTCGAACTGGGACGTTGCTCGAGACACAAGCTCCACGAGCTCTTCGTCCATGGACGACGACTCGACGTACGAGATCGCGTGGGAGTGCGGGATGCTGGGCATCCACTTCAACGTGGACGCAGGCCAAGTCGTCGTCCAGCGCCTCCACGTGACCCTGAGCACGTGCATCGACATCTTTGCCGTGTCCGTGGGCGATGTCCTCTTGGCAGTCAACAACGTACCCGTCATCCTGCACGGGTCTACAACGTACGCTTCGGTGATGCGATACGTGGCCCAGGCGCCCAAACCGGTGGTGCTGCAGCTCAAACGCGCGAGGCCGTCGCCCCACCATGTCGCAGTGTCCCTTCAAAGCGACGAGTACGAACTGCTGTGGGGACGAAAGGCACATCCGTCGCTCGGCATCGAGTTCAAGTGGGACTCGATCAACCAAGTTCCCGTGGTGGTGCACTTGCATACTCATGTGGGCCAGACCATCCCCGGCCGCACCAGCGTCTGCGTCGGCGACTGGCTCACCCACGTCCAAGACGACTCGCTCCGTCAAAAGCACTCGACGTGGACTGCCAAACTGCAAGGTGGCGGCCAAACAGTTCTGTTGCGCTTCCAGCGCGCCGGAGCCAACGCCCGCAACAACGCTGACGTGTTGGCCCACGGAGGCCGGCTGAGTGACGTCGAAGCCGCGTGTTGCGGGTTCGATGAAGTCCAGCGGTGGTCGTGGAACCCCAAGCACGACGACACGTTGCACCACCTGCTGTACACGGACGACGACGCGTCGCTGGGTCTCGTGCTCAAGCAACCCGCCTACAGGTTTTATCTCGAAGTGAGCGACGTGAAAGCTGAGGGCGCCGTGCACCGCCAGCGCCACCAACCCCGACGCCGAATCCTCCGAGGCGACCAGTTGGTGTGTGTAAACCACCAAAACATCCGCGTGATCGGACACTCGTCCGCGTTGGCGCAATTGAAACATGGCCCGAAACCAGTGCTGCTAACGTTTCGCCGGTCCAAACCTGCGTGCAACATGTACCCCACGAGCCAAAGTTGCTAGGCAACGACATCCACACGTTAGAATATCATAGGCGTGTACGTACAGGTTGGTGCTTTTCGATAGAATAATAACGTTAATTTTGATCTATTTATTCATTTGCCGTTCGTTCGTTCTACTATTAATACTTATTAGTACAGTGAGAATTTCGACGTGATTTGGTATCTATATTAATCCGCTAGAATGTACGAGGTTGTTAATGTTAAAAATTCGAAATCATCTTTCGGCCCGATTCTATAAATAAGATTGTACTATCCGGAATTACCGGATATAGACAATCTTGAGGAGGTGTGGACAGACTCGTTGTCGCCAACAGCAAGCACCTCATGGACTTGAATGCAGATGAAGACAGCGACGTTGTGAGCTCCCTTGGACACACTTCAGCCAAGGTGACTGAAGCACATGCACCTTCGTGGCATGATAACCCCCATAAATAGGCAAGCAAAGCTAGTCACCGACGCGTGTGGTCGGTAGGCGTCGGTGGCGCAGTGGAGCTGAACAAGCTGAAAAAGGAGCAAGAGGTATGTGTGTGCATGTGTGATGAATACAAAGCGTCTGGAAATGGTCTATTAGGTGAAAATCTTGCACAGCGAGCTGGAAAAGCAAAGCAGAGCGCTCGAGGAGTCGCAGGAAGAAACGCAGCTCGCGGCCCGTATCGGCCAGTCGTTACTGCTTCAAAAACAGCAATTGGACTATGAAATGGAAGACAAAGTGTCCGCGGTAGGCTACTAGTCGCACGTCGGAGCATGTAGTGACGTCCTGTTGTTGTGCAGCTCACCCAGCGTTGCGGCGACGCTACCTCCCAAGTCCAGGTTGGACCCACGTTGCCATTCATGTTTGACCAATAAAGCAGCGTAATTCTGCTGTTAGGAACTCGACGCAAAGTACAAATCGGCGACAGTGCAATGCCGTCAGCTAGATCAACTTCGAGTGCAGCACGAGTTGCAAATCGAGGACTTGACCGATAAGCACGTTGCCACCACGTACTACTGTCCACTGATTGCTTGAACTCAGTAGTAACACTAGATATATATATATATATAGGTCCGCACTCAAGACACTTAAAGATGAGCTCGTGCATGCTCGGGCCAAAACGATTGAAGCGAGTGCCCAGAACACTCACTTGATGACTGAGGTATTAGGCGTTCATATATTAGTAATACTAGCCATCGAACGACATGGTAAAGTACTATTAATAGGTCGAAGAGCTCAAGAAACGAGTGGTGGACCTCAAACAAGTCAACGGCAAACTCAACGCCGACTTGGGCAAAGTGAACTTGCACTTGGGCGAGGTATATATATTATATATATATATGCCCTGGATGTAGAAATAAATCCAATTTTATCATAATCAGGCCAGAACTCGAACTTGGTTTGTTTGGTAGCTTGGCGATTCCAATCGCGAGTTGGAATTGCAGGTCTCGGAGCTGACCGAACGACTGCAAAGTGCCGTTGTCGACGCCGACAAGTTCGTTGCGTTGCAGGCCGAACATGGGACAACCGTTAAGGCTTGGAAGGAAGCGGTATGAGATACAGTAAATTGGCGATAAACTTTCAAACTTCGCATGGTTTGTCTAATTGAATCACGCTGGCGTTCTGATTGGTTGAATGTACTTGTGCTTTCTGTAAGAGCCAATCAAATCCGCTCAAAATTGGAGTAGCCAATAGTGTCGTCGATTCGTGATTCAATTTTTTTGGCGGCGAGATTTGATTCGACAAAGTAGCAGGAAATATGTGTCCCGAATCCACAATATATCATTTTTGAGTTTGATATGTATATTATATATATATCATTTGTATTTGACGTGGGTTGGGGTGTTCATGGTTAGGTGGCGTCCACAGCTGCTTTGGAAGAAGCCTCTCAACGCCAGCTTCAACAG